TAGGCCATGAGGGAGGCCCATCCCTGATAGTGTTACTATCTTCCTTCATATTTTTATGCCACTATCATTCTGTCTTTTTTTTTTTTTTTAAAAGATTTATTTATTTATACAAGCACTGGGTACAGTCAGAAGCGTGGGAGGGCGAGAGAATTCACCAAAGCGGGGAACAGAACAGGCAGACTTGACCAAGTACACTGCTGAGGGGAGCAGCAGGCGCCAGGAGAGGTCTGCGCGCCATGTGGTACCCCCACCCAGCGGCCGGGGATCGAACCAGCGCTGCAGAGGCTGCAGGCAGCCTCACAACCCAGCATTCAACCACTGCGCCACTGGGGAGGCCCTATCATTCTGTCTTAATACAACTGATATGTTTCCCTCTCGAGAAAAGCTAAGATAACTGTACTACTACTTTTTCTATTCTTGCCTGTTTATTTTTCCAGATAAATTTAGGTGTTTTATGTCATGTCTGAAAAAGGCTCATTGAATATTTGCAAGCTTGTCAGAGTTAGCTTTTTTTTTTAATTTTTTTTTTTTTTTTTAGAGAGTGTAGCAGAGTCCTTTTTTTTTTTTTTTTTTTTTTTTTTTTTTAAGATTTATTTATTTATTTATTTATACAAGCACTGGGTACAGTCAGAAGCGCGGGAGGGTGAGAGAATTCACCAGCGGGGAGCAGAGCAGGCAGATGGACCGAAGTACACTGCTGAGGGGAGCAGCGGGCGGCAGGAGAGGTCTACGCGCCATGTGGAACCCTCCTCTGGTGGCCGGGGAGCAGCCAGGGATCGAACCGGCGCCGCAGAGGCTGTGGGCAGCTTCGCAACCCAGCTCTCAACCACTGCGCCACCGGGGAGGCCCCAGAGTTAGCTTTAATCACATGTGTGTAATATTCAATCAAGATGGTCTCCTGTACTTAACCTTGGTGGCCAGTATGTTCCAGATGTGGAAAAAAATAGTTACTGAATGAAGGAATAGATAAATAAAGAGACTTTTATTTATCATCCTTATTAAGTATTGGTTGATACCTCTCCTTGTGTGGTAGCTTTTCCCCATTTGAGCCTACACATTTCATGTGAATGTTATTTTTTTTTTTATAGCATTCTTGTTTATTTTTTCACATTTTTTCCCCTTAGGTGTGTTCAAGATAGTTTTCCCACCACCAGAGCACCCACAGTCCTCTACCATAGTCATTTGTGCTCTTCTTACCTCCATTTTCTACTCTCCACTCTTCCCCTCTGCCACCCCCACTCCCCCCCCACCCCCCATATCCCCGATCTAGTGTCTGCTTTCAGGGACTGCTCTTTGTCTTATCCTTTGTTTGGTTTCTCTAGATTCCACATAAAAGTCTGGTATTTCTCCTTCTGGCTCACTTTGCTTAAAATAATCCCTTCCAGTTCCATCCATGTTGCCACAAATTGCATGAGTTTATCTTTTTTGATTGCTGAGTAGTATTCCATTGTGCATATATACCACATCTTGACCCACTCATCTGTACTGGGGCAGTTAGGTTGCTTCTATATCTTGTAAATAGTGCTGCTATAAACATAGTGCAGGTTTCCTTTCAATTTAATGTTTTTACCCAAATGCCCAAAAATAGATAGCTGGATTAAAAAGATGTGATATAGAATACTATTCAGCAATCAAAAACGATAAACTTATGTCATTCGTAGCAACATGGATGGAGCTGGAAGGAATTATGCTCAGTGAAGTGAATCAGAAGGAAAAAGAAAAATATCGGACAGTGTCACTTATAGTAGGAATATAGGGGAACCAAGTAAGACATCAGGGGCAAAAAATAGTAACAATGTAAAACACAGCACAACAAAACAAAAAAAAATAGAAAATTATAAACCAGAGACATCCTGAAGAGGAGGAGGAGGGAGAGGGATGGCAGGGAGGGAGAAGAGCCCAGGGGGCTGTGGTGATGGTGCATGGGTACATTGGTGAAGGAAACTCTATGGGGACTACACCTGGAGGGGGGAGAAAGTAAACATTGTTTAAAAATGCGCAATGATGTAAAAAAAAAAAATATATATATATATATATATAATTGGTGTTTTTGTGCTTTTTGGATTGATATCTAGGAGTGGAATTGCTGGGTCATATGGTAGATTCATTTTCAGTCTTTTAGGGAGTCTCCACATTTTTTCCCATAGGGTATGGACCAGTCTACATTCCCACCAACAGTGTAATATGTGAATACTATTTCTTGACTTTGTATATTTTGATTTGTTATTGCTGTAAGAATAGTATTTTTTTTCCTGTTACATTCTTACTGTTTGTTGCTAGGATATGAGAAAACCATTAATGTTTTCGTATTTATTTTTTGTTATTTTCGGTTATTCTTCTGAAGGTGTTTCTGAGAAATTCTTTAGATAGTTACTTCTGATTTTCGTTTTGGAATTTACCAAGTAACATTAAAAAAATTGATGATAAAAGGCATCCTTGTTTTGAGTCTGAGTTTTAATAGTCATATAACTTTCCACCTTTAAGCTAGTTGTTGTTCTTAAAATGTATTTCATAAGAAATAATCATGTAATATTTTTTTAGTTGACTTGTGTCTAACATTTTAGTGTCAGTTAAAGAAACTTGCCTTTGCTTCAGGATATTGCTATGGACGATAAATAAAACATATATGGTAGATAAATAAAACATTTGTCATCATTTAAGGTAGTTATAGAAGATATCTTTTCCTTCTGTGATTTCGTGAATGTTCCTCTAACTTTCTTCAGCGTCCCTATTCCACTTTGATCTGAACCTGAATTTTAGAGTGTGGAGGAACAGGGACTGAAGTAAATAGACCCTTTCATTCTCTTGTTATTAGGATGTAAAACTTGGATATTTCCATATGGGAGAATTTCTCAAAGCATTGGGCTTAGACATACATTGGAGTGTGGCATCCAAGATATAGTGATAAGGCTTCATGTAAATTATGCTATTGAGGAGCCTCCCTGGTGGTGCAGGGGTTAAAATCTCAGTGCTATCAAGCTATTGCCAGCCACTGTGGCAGTGAATTAACTTGTCCAGTGCTGTCAACGGAGAACTGTGACATCAGAACACATACTCTTCATTGCTACTTTTCCCTTATTACATTTGCCTTTGTGTTTGTGCTCTTATTTGGATCCTCTTGACTGGTGAGAAGTAAAAGTTACATGTGAAATAGAAGCAAACCTTAGGGATGGATAGATGAATAAATAACTTACGATCTTGATAGCTGAGACTAATGTGTTTTGAAATGTTTATGAAACCCAGTAATATAGTAATTTTTGCCTTAGTGGCAAATAATGAGCCCTCCTCCATTAATAATGATAAAAAACACAATTTCCTTAGAAGAAAGCATTATTTAATTACTTTTAGGCTAGACAGTACATTTGTCTAAGGGTTTAGGGCCTATGTAGTTGGCATGTATTTTACCGAATTTTCCCTCTGCATTTTGCAGACTTGTCAGTAAGACTGGCATAATCCACAGATGCTGCTAATGTTATAACCTATAATTTCACTTTCTTGTTACTTTTCCCCAGAGGATTTCTAAGACAATGTCAAATTTTTGGCACCCTCAGAGTGGCCTACTTTCTGTAATACTCAGTATATGTCTTTTTAAAAACAAGATACAAGTTTGTGGTAGATGAGCAAATATCTAAGCAATCAGCCTCTATTATGGGTGGTAAAAATACTAGCTCAGTGATTGGAAGGGAGTGAAACAGATTGCTGATTTCTAAAGATAATGCATTTTAAAATCATTTAGGGGACCTTTGCAAATAACCCTTTTTCTTCATGGTGACATTCACTGACATAGTAAGCATTTGGTTTTGTCAGGACAGAAAAGTGTTCAAAAGCCACTGTACTAGACAGCATAGAAAGGGAATTGCTTTAGTGAAGTTCAACAGTAAGTTTTCCATAAGCCTGGTCCTTAAAAGGAGAGGGGTGGGGGAAAAAGCACATTACCAGGTTGTTACTTTTCTTTCTCTCTCTGAATAGAAATATTCCCAAACATGGAAAGGAGTCTATCTTAATTTTAAAATTTCTTAGGAAGGAGCATAAAATCTTTTTTCTTATTCTTTCCCCGACTCTAGGAATGCTTGAAATAGATGTCTTCTTTTATGTCTTACAAATTAAATGCCTCATTTGTTGCTCACCCATTTCAGTTAGGCTGTCTTGCATTTTAATCTAACCTTGATTCAGGACTTCTTTTTGTGACTCCTGGCTATGACCATTTGTCACTAATTCATAAGATAGCTTGTTTTCATAAGGAAATTACCGGTTTTCTTCTACTTGAAGTCCAGTGCATTTTGGTTTGGAGTGTTGAGATCTGCCCCACACTAAACCCTAGACCCCTTGTCTGTTACATCGAGTTTATCACCTGGTTGTAGCACCAAAGAATCGCATCCCCCCTTTCACTTCTTCCTATCCTATTTCTTTCTCTCCCTCAGTAATGTTAGACCCTCATGATTTTATCCTGATCCAATTTTTAGTTTACGTAAGTCAGATTCTAACTTTTAGTTTACAAAAAATGAATGCCCCTCTTCTGAACATAGGCTTTTATTTTTATAAATATTTAAATTTTTCAATTAATAGTCTACTAAATATATATTAAAACTATTTCTTTGCTTGTTTTTAAACTAAACTTTTTGTTTTAATACTTTTCTTAAATGCAAAAGAGACAAAGCCATTAAACTTTCCTTATTAAAATGCAAAGCCTAGTGTCTTCTAGCTTTTTGAAGAGCTTTTGTCCATTATATAATCTGTAAAGTAGCCAAGAGTTCCTCAGAAGCAGGACATCATTTAGATTTAAAACAATTATGGCTTGTGTATAAAATAATGATGTGGTATAACCATTCATGGGGTGGCAACCACAATTTTACTGTATTGGCAAAATTCTCGGATGCCTCCAATGTTTCCTTCACCTTAAAGACTTTACCAAGACACCCTGGAACATAAAGTTATTAGGTAATTTTAATTTTACTAAGTAGATGAAGTTCTTATGACTAGAAAGCCAAGTGACACAGTTATGAGGATAGACCTTTTATTTTTTCCCAGATGTTTGACAGTGTAAACATACATAAAATACATATTAAAGTTTAGATGCTTTATATTTTGAGCAATAAATTGAAGCTTTAAAAAGAAAACATTTCATTAAAAAAACTCATTAGTTTTACTTAAGACAATAAAATAGCAGCAAGTACCAAGACATTGTGCACTTCTTTTATTTAAGACAAGTTACTTCATTTACATCAGTGTCAGAAATGTAAGACTGGCTTTCTTGAATACTTAATATGGTTTTTGAATCACTGGTTAGATAGGGGCATATTTTCCCAACTATACATCAGGGAGGAGTTCTCTCATTAGTTTCAGAAAATGCAGACCCTCAGACAGCCAGCATGACCACAGCATTGAGCATTAAGAGCAATGAAGCATTTACTTTCCAAGCACTTGCCATAGAAGGTAAGGGAGTCTTTGCATTTGTGGTTGTTTCTTCCCTCCGTAAGTTGAGGGTTGTGCTTTGTTGAGGCATTTCAGAGAAATTATTTGGCATGCCACTAGTAATACTTAGGGTCATGGGTGTTGGGGGTGATTTTGTTGAGCTGCTGAAGCTTGTGTTGGTAACCATTCCATCTTGGAGATGAATAGTTAGAGTTGCAGCTGCTGCTTCATGTGAACTGATCAATTCTGTGGCTGCATCTTCTGGATAGGGCACAAAAGCCTTATCAGTGCTAGTAAAGGTGGTATCTTTGCTTACAGTGGCACCGAACGTTGTTTCCTTTGTTCGATATTGTTTGGGTATTTTGGTCACTTTGGATTGGGTTACCATACTCAGAGAGTTAATGGTGTCCACTGTCTGCATCCCACTTACAGTGAACAAGCTTGAGGTAAATCCAGAAGGTGTAGGGTATATGTTATGTTCCTTCGAAGATGATATTTGGCTAGTACAGGGAGTGCCTATCACATGGACTTTTGTTTCCATCATCCATTTCAACAAGTAAGTAATGTTTTGTTTGTGGTCACATAACCACCTGTTATTGTAAAGGGTTATCTCTTGCAATTGATAGAGTTGATCAAAAGCTTGATCTGGAATGAATGTAAACTTATTGTTATGCAGGTAAAGATGCGTGAGATTTGTCAGATTTATTAGTGTTCCTGGGAGGATTTGTGTCAAGGAATTGTTAGACAGGTCCACGATATGTAGTTTAGAGGGCATGTTGGTTGGAACTGTCCAAAGTTTGTTACTACTGAGGTTGAGAACCTCAAGACTTCTTAGTGTATTTTTAATGAGGACAACCTTTTCCAGCATATTCTTAGAAACATCCAAATATTTAAGGTTCCACTGATAAGCAGTATCAGATTTGTCAAGCAGTTTAATGTTGTTGTTAGCAGCAGACATGTTCCAGAGGGACCGAGGTAACTGAGCAGGCAGGCTTTCTAGCCTGTTGTTTGAAATGTCCAGGGTCCTCAGATTGGTGTATTGGGTTAACTGGTTATGCAGATCAGTAAAGTGATTATAAGACAGGTTTAAATGGATAATATTCTCTTGCAGTCCAGATGGTAACGCAGTCAAGTTTCTGCCTGAACAGTCCACATGCCTGTTCCTCTCTGTGCATATACATTGGAGAGGACAAATGCATAAAATACCAGGTGTGAGAAACAGAAGGATGAACAGGCTGGGAGACATTTTCAATATCTGACATTCCATCAAAGCCTGGAAACAAACAGATACACCCTTCTTTTAATATGCAAATACAATTTAGGCATCTGCATGGGTCAGTTAGCATTAGACAAAAATTTTCAATAAACCTCGTTGTTGTTGAGTCCTTTTATAATTGTTCCAGTGATTAAACTAACAAAGCTCTCCTTCATTTATAGTCCAAATGCTTAATCCTTCAATTGGGGCTGTGTGGTAGAGAGACTTTCTTCCCCCACTCCACTCTTGACTGCATTTCCCCCTTTATTTTTCCCTTCTTTTACCATATTCTTTTTTTATTTTCCCGGAGGCTTATTATTATACAATGGCATTTCTACAAATGAGGAGTCAAAGTCCTAGCTATTACTATTTTGGATAACATCCTTTCTTACTCAGATGGGAAAAAAATGGCTGTCGTGTCTCTGTTTTGATTTTTTTTTCTGATCTCTGCAGTAATGTAATAGTCAATGTGCATTTGCAGGGGGAGATTTTATTTAGATATTAAAGCAATCTTTTGGAATTTCATCTTTTTTTTTAAATAAATATATCTTTGTGAAATATTTTAAGGCAGTTGGAAAATCCAGACCAACACCATATCTTTAAACATCACATTTTATAAAGTAATTTCATTTTCTGTATATTCCAGTTCAATTCTAAAGGAAAACGATTTGTATATTTACAAGGTGAATGAATATTAAAAAAAATATTCCTCAACTGACACTGCAGCAAATTTCTGGTGCATGCACTTGTTATTGAATATATATTCAGTCCTAATGCTGACTTTTTCTTTAAATTAAAAAAAAAAGACAAAAATTCCGAAGTCAATCTTTTACTGATTGAAATAACCGCTTACCATAGTGTTGTCTTCAGTATCAGCATCTCATTTTCTCCGGGAAACTTGGCTTAAATGTCCCCTTGTTCTGAAGAGTAGGAGCAGCTTCTGGCTGTGGGCTGTGCTTGCCTGCTCAGCTGCATTGTGTTGCTGTGAGCCGAAGCTCTGCAACCACCTGATCAGTACCACATAGGAGGACTGCAGAGCTGTCATTGGTGCTGACTCAAATTTATTACAAGAGGTGCACACGCAACAAAATGGACCTAACATTTTTTAAAAAAATTTATAGCCATTGAGCATACCTATATTTTCTCAGATTTCCTATAGGATGGAATACCTCATGCACGATAAACCTGGCCCTTACTTATTTTTATGTATTTGCCTGAGTTTAGGTTCCACATTTTAACATTTGCCTCATTAAAAATTTGTGGTTCTTCATTTTACATGCTGAAAATGAATTTGATCTTCCTTGTAGATGATTCTAAGATAACAGTTTAACTGTTTTTTTTTTTTTTGTTCTTTTCAAAATGTACAACTGCTATGTTACTGCTTAAAAATAATATAATACAATCTGTTTAATTTTTATTACTCCTCCTGACATGGTGAATATATTTTTCAAATATATCAACCACTTAAATCTTCCTGTTTTAGAAAGAATAGACGTCCTTAAGTGTCAACGTCTTCTTCTTTCTGAAACAGAGGTTCATTTTACCCAAGCTACATACAAGTGAGGGTACATTTTTATTTATTTATTTTTTAAAGATTTATTTATTTATGCATACAAGAGCTGGGGTGTAGGCCAGAGGTGCAGGGGGCTGGTGGGTGGGCATAGTATGTGTGAAACAATTTACCAGAGACTGAGTGGAGAGCAGAACAGGCAGATTGACTGAAATACACTGCTGAAGGGAGCAGCGGGCAAGACAGGATAGGTCTTCTGCGCCATGTGGGTAGTTCCTTGGCCTGGAATCCAACTCAAGCTGCAGTGGCTGCTGATAGCTTGATAGTGCTGAGACTTAACCCCTTGCGTCACCAGGGAGGCCTCTGAGGGTCCATTTTTATTTATTTTTTTTTTTTATTAGATAATAAATTTTATTGTTATATTCCCCATACAATTGCAGCGCCCCCATTCTGACCCCAATCCCTCCCCTCCCGCCCCTGCCCCCCTAAAAGTGTCTCTGGTTCATAGTTTTTTGTTGATTTTGATTTTCACTTTCTTATAGTTATTCATTTTCCTGGTCCCTTATTTAAGTTTTCTAGATTCCTGCTATGAGTGAGACCATCCGGTATTTTTCTTTTTCTTTTTGGCTTATTTCGCTGAGCATGATCCCTTCCAGCGCCATCCATGTTGCTGCAAATTGCATGTGTTTATCTTTTTTGAATGCTGAGTAATATTCCATGGTATATATGTACCACATCTTCTTGATCCAGTCATCTATTTTTGGGCATTTGGGTTGTTTCCAAAGCTTAGCTATTGTAAACAGTGCTGCTATAAACATAGGGGTGCAGGTGTTCTTTGGAATTGATGTTTCTGTGTCCTTTGGGTAAATACCTAGGAGTGGAATTGCTGGATCATATGGAAGCTCTATGTTTAGTAGGTCCAGAAATCTCCACACAGCTTTCCACAGTGGTTGGACCAGTTTGCACTCCTGAGGGTCCATTTTTAAATGAGCACCTTTGACTTTTAATTATCAGTTCTTGTGGTAAAGTAAACATGTTTTATTTTTAGTCTTTACTTACAGGATTTTTTTTTTTTTACTTCGTGAAGCTTACTTCGGTGAGTCTTTATAAGTATTATCTTCTCTCAATGAAAAACCATTTAATGTTGAGTTTCAAAAACAATAGCACCAATTTCAGGTGGTTTCTTCAGAATGTTTTACTTTTTATCTTACTGAGGAAACAATTTATCATTTTAAAATCATATGAAATAATGTAAAAGGGAAAACTTTCTTCATGACTTATAAAATAAGATGAGATTTTTGATAGTTTCTGCTCTAATCTTTCATGAACATCATGATCATGTGAATAGCCTGTTAAAACTCAAATTGAATTTCCAGAATAGTCCATTTATCTTAGAAAAGAAAGTAAAATAATAGCATTTGCATTACCAAGTTGTTATTTAAAAGCCATCTGTATATAGTGGAACATTATTTGACCATAAAAAAAATAAAATCTTACCATTTTTGACAACATTGATGGGCCTTGAAGGCATTATCCTAAGTGAAATAGATCAAAGAAAGACAAATACTATATAATCCATTTATACTACGCAGACTCTTAAAACAAAAACAAAAGGAAAAACCAAGCTCATAGGTACAAATTCACATAGAACAGACTGGTGGTTGCCAGAGGTGGGAGTTGGGGAACAAGCAAAATCTATGCTGTCAAAGGCTATAAATTTCCAGTTATTAAAAAAATGTCACGGGGATGTAACATATATTAGAATTTCTTATTACAAGAAAAGAATCTTTGCATGGTATGTAATGGTACCATATGATATATGATACATGCTAATGGTGTTAGCTAGGCTTATTGTGGTGATCATTTTGTAGTGTATACAAATACTGACTGTTATATACCTAAACTATAATCTTATATGTCAGTTATGCCTAAATAAAAATAACAAAACCAGAAGTTTTTAGCACATTACTTGTAAGAAAACCATGTCATGTCTAATTATTAAATCCTTTGTCTTCCTGTAAATTACATTTGCTATTATTTTATACCAAATAGAATTTATTGTATTATAATTTGAAGTTTGTTGGGGGGAGGGGGAGGACAAAATTTAAGAGTCACCTTTTGTATAAAATTATTATTCCTTGAAAAGAATCTATATTTTGAAAGTCTGCAGTATTAAAATGCATTATTAATTAGATAATTCATTCCCACTTTACTTTTATCTTGGATTCTTAATAAGAGTCTTTCTATGGATTCAAACCAGTCATCAGTCTTAGTGCTTAACAAGTAATGTGTTAAAAATATACAACATTCATTAATACTGTTTTGGAAATGGGGACATGATTGCTTTGATAGTTAAATTTCTTGCTTTAGCTTATGTGTATACTGTTACACTTAAAGGGATGTGACTGAGGGTCTGTTTACCAAATACATCTCTCCTTTTAATTTTAGGAAGTCTCATTACATCAGTGTGGAAGAATTATCCAGTTCCATTACATTTAGCAGAAATTTTGTTTGAATGAATGTCACTTCATTAACTAGTGGATCCAAATTAATTTGGGTTTAAACTGTATTGAGGTTATAGTTTCGGCTACATATAATACAAAACTCCAACATAATAGTAATGGTAGTTTTTCTCATTTGAAGTTTGGGGACATACATACCTAATTACTTCCTATTTGTCAAATTTTTTTTGGTGAAATTCTCATAAAGAAAAAGGGGGTAGTTAAATATATTCAAATTGTAACAATCTGTCCATATGCTTTTGGAAACTCATGAAATAAAGTAATAGTACATTATTATTACTCAAAAACAAAAGGATGTTTTGTAGGCTTAAGTATTCCTTACATATTGAATATTATTCAGACACAATTCATTTTTCAGACAAATGCCAGGTTAGAAGTTAGAGCTATTATATTCTAAACATTAAATTCATTTACATATTCTTTTGTGAAGCACGCTGTCCTAGGATCTATTACCCCAACATCATGACAGGTATAATAAATACCTGCCAGAGAACAACAATCCCATCTTAACAGTTTGAAGACCTACTTAATCTTTATTTCTTAAACTGGTAACATTTATTGTGCTTATTTGTAAGTAAAAATATTATGTTCTCTGTTTTTGTTAGTATAGTATGCTGTTCAGGCTGAATTTCGTGCTGAATACAGCTAAGAGTACTAACTAAAGTAGTCTAAAATCATAAAGAACTGACAGGATAGAAATGATCAGACCAAAAATCCAAGTGGATCAATCCTGTCTTCCCTCTTCCCACCTCCATTTGCCCCATGCCACTGGCTTTTTACCAAAATCTGTCATTTACTCTCTGGAATGTCCTTTGTCTGAATTTATCTGTTTGCTTCCTTGTAATGATTTAATTTGTTCCTCTATGCCTCATAATTCCCATAAATGGTTCCTAACAGCATTAACAAAGTTGCTTATTTGTATCATCCTTACAGTAGCTTCAAAATAATACCAGTATAACTACAGACAATTGGATTACAGACTACTGAATAAAGATTAAGATTTCTTTGCAGCTCTGTTTGTTCTTAAGATATATTTTAGGGCCTCCCTGGTGGTGCAAGGGGTTAAGCACCGCACTATGAAGCAGTTCACAGCCTCTGCAGCATGAGTTCGATCCCTGGCTGGCCGATGAGAAACCTACATGGCAAGGCAGACCTCTCCTGTCTCACCCGCTGCTCCCCTCAGCAGTGTATTTCAGTCAGTCTGCCTGTTTCTGTTCCCCACTCTTTGTCTGGTGGATCCTCTCATCCCCCGCATCTCGGCCTGTCCCCCAGCTCTTGTATGCATAAATAAATAAATCTCTAAAAAAAAAAAAAAAGATATGTTTTACTAAGGATGTGTAATCAATTCTGTATTTTAGTGCAACTTGAAATCATTTTTCTCTACATTTTTATATCATCAACTTTATATCAAGTTAGGTTCATATGTTTCAGTTATCGATTTTTAGAAATTGCTAAAATCAAAACATTTAACAAGGTGGATCTAGAGAAATCTTATTTGTCCCCTCCACTCTATCCATTTCCACCTCCTGTTGGTGACTACTTTAATTAGTTTTATTGGTGACTATTTTAATTAGCTTTTGGTTGTGTCTGAACAATATTTCTTTTTGCAAACATATGGAAATAACATATATAGTATGTGTTCTTCTCTCCATTCTTATATAAAAAGTTGCAAACTTTGTATACTGTTAAATATTTTTTTTAAAGATTTACTTTTTATTTAGTTATACATACAAGAGGTGGGGTATAAACCAGAGATGTGGGGCTGGCGGCAGGGTGTGACAGGATTCACCAGACAGGGTAGGAAGCAGAACAGGCAGATGTACTGAAATACACTGCTGAGGGGAGCAGCGGGTGAGACAGAGGATGTCTGCTGCACTTTGTGGGTTAGCTCCCTGGCCTGCAATCAAACTCATGTTGCAGTAGCTGCTGCTAGCTTGATAGCGCTGACTTTAACCCCTGTGCCACCAGGGAGGCTCCCCCCCCTTTTTTTAAAGGTTTGTTTTTATTTATGCATAGAAGAACTGGGGTGTAGGCCAGAGGTGTGGGAGGGTGAGAGGATTCACCAGAGACAGTGGGAAGCAGGACAGGCGGAGGCCCTGTTCTTTTTTTCTTAATAAATCTTGACAATCAATCCATATTAATATATTCAGATCTTTCTTGATGCATAGTGCTGTTTTTGGGGGTATAATTTATTTATTCAACCAGTCTCCCATTGATGGACATCTGGGTTGTTTCCAGAGTCTTATACCCTTGCACTTTTCATATTTTCTCCATTGAATCTTCGAATAAGATTTCTAGCGATAGGATTCCTGGGAAAAGGGTAAATGTATTGGAATTTTTCTGTATGTTACCAATTTCCTTCTCATAGACTACCATAGTGCAGTCCTAACTAGCAGTGTGTTAGGATGTGCCATTCTGTACAGCCTCACCACAGGCTTTGTGTTGAACTTTTGGATTTATGTCAGCCTGGTAGATAGTAATTTTTTATTGTGATTTTTAAATCCATCTCACTTTTATGAGAAGGGATGTTTGTTTTTAAATATGTTTTTAAGGGCCATTTATATTTTTCTTACTGAGGCTCTTTTTTGCATGTTTGACCAAATTTTCCATTGTGTTGTGGATCTCCCCCTTTCTATATTTAGGAGTTTTTAAAAATTTAGAGATATGGGCCATTTATCTTGGCTAATTTTAGTTGCAGAATTTTTTCCAGTTTGCCATTGCCTTTTGACATTATTTTGATAGAGTATTTTAAGGTTTGTGTTTGTTTTTTTACATTCAAAAGTTTTACATAATTGGGTTTTCCTTTTATTGCTTCTTTTATTGCTTCTAGATTTTGAGCCTCAGCTATAATTTTTTTTTCACTTCCAGATTATAAAGGAATTTGTTCATATTTTCTTCTTTTGTATAATTTCATGTTTCATGTTTAGATCTCTGGTCTTCTTGGTGAAGTACAGACTCAATTTCATCTTTCCCAAATATCTATCCAATTCTCACAATGACTTTTTCCACTTACTTACTATTTGAGTCTGTTTCTGGACTTTTTCATTTTGTTCCATTGATATGCTTATCTAATCATATACTAGTATCACAGTGTTTTAATTATAAGCTCCCAATTATTTTGCTACTTTGTGATCAAAACTAGATAATAACAACAATTAGAGGTCACCCTTATCTAATTCATTGTGTTCTCCACCAATACCAAATGAAGTACATGTGTGATACATGAATGCTGTGGTGTATGAGAAGGTGCTTTTAGGCTCTATATTTGTAAAAAAAGAAAAAACCAAACAAAACAAAAAACAGAGTGTTGAATGAGTAGTCAGGGAACAAGCTCATATTTTTTGAAGCCCTTCTAGGTAAGTCTCTCTCTCTGGGCCTATTTTCATAGCAATTAACAAACAAAAGTTGGCAGATGGTCTTCGGGGTTGTTTCTGCTTCTGTTTAATTCTAGTCTGGTAAGAGCACCACTGGAATACGGTATATAGTTCATTCTGCCTTTTATTACCCTCTGTCCTTTTGCCATATTCCTGAAATAAACTTTTTTTTCTGACTCTTGGTTCTTTTATCCTTTCTGTAGGCTTTTCTTGGTTCTAACATTTTTTTCTCTGTTGTATTTCTTTTATTAACTTGTGTTTCTAACTGCTGATTAGGCAAGATTGCTACTGTTTGGGTACTATGCTTCCACTAACCTTAGCAGGGACAAAATTGCACATGGTAAATGGCAATTATTTTTCCTCCCTGGCAGAGAATTTCTTAAAAAAAAACTAAAACTAAAACCAGCTACTTATAGTAGTCTGTTCTTTTGTATAAAGAGCAGAAGGAGAAAAACTTTGCCTATTATGTTTGAAGAAATCAGGAAAGACTATAGTCATTGGTTCCTGATTTATCCACAAGAGTTGGTATTTCTCAATACTAATCATTCAAGAGGTCAGGAGACATGGTGATGAAAAAGAACAACAAATGTGTGGAAAGAGCCCCTTAGGCAGCTCTCTTCATGTAAAATGAGAAAGGCTATATATTTATTTTAAAAAGATTTGTTTTATTTACTTTATGCATACAAGAGCTGGGGTATAGGCCAGGGCAGCTGCAGGGTAGGGAGATGGGGAAGGGGGAGTGAGAAGATTCACCAGAGGCAATGTGGGGAAATACACTGCTGAGGGGAGCAGCGGGTGAGACAGGAGAGATTGCTGTGTCTTGTGCGTTAGCTCCCAGGCCGGGGATCAAACTCATGCTGCAGTGGCATGAGATTTTAACCCCTGTGCCACCAGGGAGGCCCCCCAAGGCTATATAATTCAACTTCCATCAAAGTCCTGACCAAATACAAAACATACCTTGTTTCCCCTAACTAGGATATTTAAAATGCAAAAAAATAAGAATAATAAGAAATTATGACTGTTGCTAGGTAAATTAACCTTGGAAATGCTATGTTTGAAAAATCACATGAAGCTTTCTCATGTAGAAGATAGAAGAGATCTGATATGACAGCATCATGCCTTTTCAGAAAAATATAAGCAACCCAAGGCAGTGTTTTTTTCAGGTAAAAAGTTTTAATAATCCATAAAAGAGATAGCTTAAAAGACAAAGAAAAACACACATAAAATTTCAGTGTCCAAAAAACTTGCTAGTTTTTTGTAAAGGTGGAACTTTTTTAGCTTTTGAACACCAGTGCTACAAATAAATACTATATATTTCGTTCTGAAAATCCCAGGAGTATGAGAGATTCTTCAAGAGTAAGTTACCAGTAGGCCACCGCATCTCATTCTAGACAACTGTTTCCCCCAGGGGCTAGGGTGGTAAGGGGAAAGAACACGTGGTTATAATAGGGCAGTGGTGCTTGTAGGGCAAGACTGACATCTTCACAAGGGTAGGCTGATTGACATTTTCCTCCTTGATTTTGACGAAGGTTGAGGCCATTCCTACTTTGATAACTCAGATTTATCACTTGTCAGGTAATGGATAAAAGATGAAATTTTGCATAAGGAAGGTGGTTTAAGAGTTTAAATGAACAAGTCATCATAAAATATGAGTTTAGTGAAAGTCGAGAACCATCTGTATTTACATGTAGTCTGTTTTTCCTGAAAAAAAAAAAAAATCCAAATTTGAAATGAAATTGTCTTTTTTCCTTCATAATTTTTCATTTTGTGTGTCTGCTTAAGGCATATTAAAAAAAAAAAAACTTTCTAAAGAGTCTAATTTTAAAATTTCTGCCCTCCCATAAGAGAGGAAAATGTTTACATTTTATGATGCATACTCATGTTAGTTTTTTGCTTTTTTTTTTTTAACTCAGAGTAAATGTTCCCAACTCAGTCCTCCAATTTGATGTTTTCATAATTTTTTGCCATTTTCAAAGAACAAAAAAGAAATTTCTGTATTCTCAAACATTCATTTTAATCTTCATCCCCAAATTTGGAATATTTATTTAATTCTTGAGATACTGATTTGAAACTTGAAGTTCTGTTTAAAACTTGGAATATGCATTTAATTTCTCATCTCTCCCTGAAATAGAAAAGTAAAATTTAAATTTATTTAAGGTAGCTATTTGGTGATATTAAGTACACAGGATTGCTTGTTTCAAAAATTGGTTAGGTTAATTTCATACATACTTGCCACATATGTAAAATGTACAATACATTAACATTAGATACTATAGCCAGTAAATAGATCACTGTTACATATTTTCTCAAAAAATAAGTTCCACTGGTATACATGGAGATTAAGCAGATTACAGGTAATTCCTGAATAATAATCAAAATTAGCCATCAATTGCTATTTAACATATTTTATCACATGAAGAAAGAAAGATGGAGTCAGCTAAAAAGCAAGTTGTATATTTACAACAGTTCTTCAGGTGGAAGTGGCAGAGATTCATTGAGATCTTGATCCAAGTCAAGGACAATTGCGAACTCCTGACACTGAGTCTCATTATTGGAATCTTCCTGGTTTTTCATAAAATCTGTTGGTGGCAGAAGTAAGTTAAGTGAGTCAGGGGGAGGTGGAAGTGACTGTTCATACTCAGAAGTATGATCTTCACAGACTTCAGTGAGACAATCCAGAGGTGGTGGAAGGTTGGTGGAATCATTTGGAAGAGGAGCTGTAGTTGTCATTGTGGGTTTGTCTAATTGGTTGCTGTCCTGTCCTTCCAAATCCAGAAGGGGAGGAGGTGGTGCAGGCAGATCTGCATCATCTGATGAAGAAATGGCAGTGCCGATTGTCAATCTATCAGCACTATCCTCAGATGTACCATTTATTTGAACTTTTAATTTTTCTGCGTTGGGGATGTTAGAATCTTCAGTGTTTTCGCTTGACTCAAACAACTTAATTTCTAAGTCATCGGCTAAAATTGTGCTTTTGCTTGGTTTCCAGGCATTAAGTGAAATAACGGATGTACGTTTTGTGGATACTTCTTTTTCTCTAATATTATCTAAATATAAATCAGGGGTTTCACCATCAGCAAATGGAGACCTTCCTGCCCAATTTTGATCATTCGAAACTGGTTTTTTAAAATATTTCCATAGTACAATCATGAGTATGGCTATTAACATAGAAGTCAGAATTACACCAATTAACACAGCAGCTGTCGAATTAGCATTGGTTCTAGGTGCATTTTTTTTGCTTGTAGTTTCTAGAATGAATCCTGGTGTATGCCTAGATGAAATTTTAATAGTTGGTGTTGCTTGTGTAGATGGACTATAAAGAGTTGGTGGTATTGGTTTTCTAGAAGAGGTGTGAACAGATAATGATTGTGGTTGAGGGGAAGAATAGACAGACTGGGGTAGTTGTCTGGTGGAAGTATGCCCAGATGGTGGTAGTTTTCTGTTAGAGGTAAAAGCAGGTAGCACTGTTCGTTGGGAAGAAGTATTGGCAGTTGTTATTGGTTGTCTTGTGATATTATAGGCCAATGTTTGTCCAGCAGTGACTTTGGTAGGTGATATTGGTTGTCCAGAAGAAACATTGTTGGATTGTGTTGGTGGATCCAGGGAATTCTCATTTGAGTTTTGAGAATTTGGTGAGATATCAGGCACCAGTGATTTCATTAAAGTAGACGGTGGCTGTGTCTTTGTGGTACTGGCCTCTGTTTCTGAGAAAACTGTATCATTCAGGTGTCCACAAAACAAAATTAGGATGAAATATTTGGGATCCATTTCAGAATTTCCTTTTTACCCGTGGGTTTATAAAAAAAGAAAGACAATTAGGTATCATTTGGTTTCTTGCATAAAACATAAATAGGTACTCAATAAGTGTTCATTTCTAATTTGAACTTGATACACTATAGGCTAGTGTAAACAGCTCTTGAATATACATTAACTCATATAACATCTGGCCTTCATAGGCAATGATGCACTCTTAATTCCTCCCTAAGACCTGTAGTTGACCCTCTTGAGCCTCTAGCTTCATTAACATCACAGTCTTTCAGATCATGGTCATACTTCTCAAACAGAGAGGTTGTATGCTGCTTGCCTGTCCTCTCTTCCCTATTCCCTTTACTATTAGAAACAAGTTGATTTTGCTTCCTTGAAGGACACCAGGAACTATTAGTATCTAATTCAACAGTCTTTCCTTTCTTCTCTCCCTCCCCCGCTTGACTACATTTGACATTATAGGCTCACTACTATTTGAGTGGCTCTTTATTAATGGTCTTCCTTTCATGTTAATCTCATTTTCTCTTGCTTCCTAAATAGAGATACTTGATATTCAGTGCTGTATCTATATCCTCTTTTCTTTGATCCCGAATCTATAAGATTTCAGCTCTTACTTTTATGTCATAATTCTCAGATCTGTATAATCAGTCCAAATCTCCTTAATTCTAGTTTCATTTGTATGACTTCTTTTTTTTTTAAAGATTTATTTATTCATACAAGAACTGGGGTACAGGCCAGAGTTGTGGGGGGTGAAAGGATTCATCAGAGACAGAGCAGGGAACAGAACAGGCAGATTGACTGACATACACTGCTGAGGGGAGCAGTGTGCAAGTCAGGAGAGGTCTGCTGCGCCATGTGAGTAGCTCCCTGGCTGGGGATCAAACTCGTGCTGCAGTGGCTGCGGATAGCTTCATAGGTTGCGTCTTAACCCCTTGCGCCACCAGAGAGGCCCTCTTGATGAACATTTTCATATATATATGGACATTTTCATATATATATATATGGTCAGCAAATTCAACGTATTTAGAGTAACTCATTTTTATCTCAAAATTGACCCTGTTCTCAATTTTTGTTAATGGTCTGTTGTATTAGTAATCTTTGTAGCATCCTCAGTATCTCACAGTGTCTTTATTTTTTTTTTAAGATTTATTTATTTATGCATACAAGAGCTAGGCCAGAGATATGGGGAGGTAAGAGGATTCACCAGAGACAGAGTGGGAAGCAGAACAGGCAGTTCTACTGAAATAACTGCTGAAGGGAGCAGCAGACGGGACAGGAGATGTCTGCTGTGCCATGTGGGTTAGCTCCCTGGCCAGGGATAGAACTCGTGCTGCAGTGGTTGCATAGCTTCATAGTGCTGAGACTTAACCCTTGTTCCACCAGGGAGGCCCTCTAAAACTGTTTTTAAAGTTAGCATCTCTCTTTTTTTTTTTTTTTTTTTTAAAGGACTCTATTCAGCTCAGAGATCTAGGCTCAAAAATCCTAAAGTGGTCTTTGAACCTGGTTGAGTCAGTCCTATCTAGTTGGTCAAATGGCCCTATTGCTGCTTTCATTCATTTATTGATGAACACATTTGTGTCAGACCCTGTCTTAGGATGAGGAGATTCTAGTGATAGAAACAAACAAATAATATAATTTGATAAATTTTTTCACAAAGGTTCACAGGAGATGCACACAAGAACAAACATAGCCTGGGGAGGCTGCAGGGAAGGTTTCTCTGAGAAGTCAAACTGAATCTTGAAAGGTTTGTGAGAATTAATTAAGAAAATAAAATATTGGGGCCTCCCTGGTGGCGCAAGGTGTTATGACATAACCTATGAAGTGGTCCGCAGCCACTGCAGCACAATTTCGATCCCCCGGCCGGCCAGGGAGCAACCCACATGGCGCAGCACACCTCTCCTGACTCGCTCCTTGCTCCCCTCAGCAGTATACTTCTGTCAATCTGCCTGTTCTGTTCCCTACTCTTTCTCTGGTGAATCCTCTCACACCCCCCCCCCCCCCCACACACACACCTCTGGCCTTGTATGCATAGATAAATAAAACCTTAAAAAAAAAAAAAGAAAGAAAAGACATTGTTCCATGCAGAGAAACGATTTATGGGCATGAAGAAGGCACATGTATAAGTTTGGTGGGTATGACTTTTTTTTTTAGGATGTCATAGATGATAAAACTTGGAGTCAATTAACTTCCAGTTCTTCTGTGACTTAACTACCTAAGTAATCATGAGAACTAGTTATTTAATCTCTCCTGGTCTCACTTGCCTTAATTCTAAAGTGAAAATTATACCAGAACAATTTTCAGCTGGAAGTGTAATTTTTGCAAATTATATTAAACACAGTGGTTATTATTTAGCTATTTCTTAACATATGGAAAAGGAAAACCTCCGGGTGTTAAATCCTGGTGCATATGATTAGATATCAGTTTTTTTATGATTCATAGGCCAATCTGAGAGAAAGTCGATGTTCTATGCAAGGTATAATAAAAGAACTTGAGTTCTCTCAAGTTTTGCAAATAAACAGACTTTTCAGCATATTTGAATACTTTTCATTGCTACTCCTCAACCATTTGGTACAGAGTGATAAATTACCATATTTTAGTAGAAGAAAAGATATGATTTTTTTTTCCCCCTGTGCAATCTCTTTTTCTCTCCCCCTTCTTTTTCTCTTCTTCCCTCCTAATACTTCAAGCCTAAATTTAAAAATATTTCTCCTTTAAATTCTTCTGAACATTGCTGATGAATTAATCTTTTTAAAAAGCATGCATGATGAGGTAACTCCCCATTGCTATTAAGATAATAATTCCAAACTGAGTTTTCTTCCTTCTGGTTTGAGTTACCAGTACAGACTTACACTTCATGACTGAAATATGTTAATGTATTTTTTCCCAATCCCAGCCTTTTCTGACTTTTGCCTATATTTTGACTGCCAATCTGAACCTGTCCTTACCTTTAGACCTCAGCTTAAATTCCCCTTCTTACAATATCAGTTGCACACTTCAGTTATATAAAAGAGAGGATAAGTGAATAAGTAGATTATGCTCTCAAAAAAGTAAATAAATGCTCCTTCTTAAATCTAATTCTCTGTTACCACAGCCCAAAGAGATCAGGCGTTAACTCAAGCTGTCTAGTTCTTACTGTCTTTTTGGGTAATTCTCCTTGGACAATTCTTCATGTGTGTACCTCATACACTTCTGTTTTCTGAAATAATTGTGTTTATTTTTTATTACTTTGCACTTTTTAATATCCTCAACCCCTCAAACAAGATTGTAAAGAATGTGGAAGGAGGTAGAAAGAAATGAAGAAAGAAAAATACTTACTTAGAATATGCTATGTGCTTATACTATATAGTATGTGCTGTAATAGTCCAGGTGTTTAGGTGCTTATTTCACTTAACTTCTAAATGACTCTATGAAGAAAATGGAGGAATCTTTGATTTACAGATAAAGAGACAAACTCAAATGAGCTAAAAGTAATTTGCTCAGTTCTATGTCACTATGTAGTGACACACTGGGAATTTATATGCAGAACCATCTGATTCCAAAACTATTCTTTCTACTACCCTAAATTGCCTCATGTTTTATACTTTGATTTCTGCAACAGAGTGCCATGTGTATTAGGAGGTCAGTAAGCAATGATCCTGTATTGGGTTTCTTGGTTTCCTTCAATTCCATTTCACTTTTTATTAATACTGCTGCCAGAATGTAAACAGAGAAGGTGAAATCTACATTATTAAATTCTTCTTTTTATCCATTTTGCATAAGATTTACTAGGGAAAAAATTTGAAATTTTTGAAGATTTGAATCCTCTCTAAGTAGTCATTATCCATGCAATTCCTACCTTCTTAGAGATGCTCTTAAAAAAAATTCATTAAAAAATGTTATTCCTCAGAGTTCACTTTAGTTTTTTTTTAAGTGCTATTTAAGCAACAGAAAATATAGGCCATGAATTGTCTTCAGCCAAAAATGTTTCCTCTTTTGTGACTTTGCTTAAATGAAAAAAAAAATATTAAAAACAAAACCACCCATATGGTTCCTTTTTTCAGTTAGCTGAAAAAGGCATTAGGAAAAGAACAAGCCCTACCATGGCATAATTATAAACCCAATGTAATTTGTAAGATTAGTTTTGATAGTTTCATAGCCTTTTGTTTATTGATAGGAAGGTCATAGGATCCTCATTGTTGAAGATGTTTAACTTGTTATTTAAGGGTTACAGCAATATTAAAGCCAAATTCCATTTTTCACTTATTCTACCACTTCTCCCACTCCTCAGTTAACTGTCTACCCTCCTAGAATCTGCTAATTAGAATAACAGAATCTGTGCTAGAATTCTACTGTGGCAACTTCCCAGAAAAGAAACAGCAAGATTGAAAAGAAGAATAAGTAAGGTATAATAGTGAAGATACTATTTTTTTAATCTCAGAGACAGCGAAGCCCATATTTTCACCAATGCAGAAAGTTATTTAACAAAGGCATTTTAAAAATAGATAAATGGTATGTATCTAAAGTACCAGCATTGTTTCTACAGAGAGGGAAAGTAGAAATATATAAAGTAACACAAGAAAAATAAAGCCAAAGTTATAGTAAGCGCAAAAGGCTACTATAGCAGGAAAAGGCTAAAGTCAGTTGACTAGAAATCAAGTATTGAAAGGAAGAAAAGTTAAGAAAAAGCTGAATAGAAAGTGGTAGTTATGTAATTACCAGGTAGTTGGGGGGAAAGATTGAAGTAGATGAAAGAAGCGGCCACAAAATACTACTTTATCACTGGCTTGTTTTTGTGGGTTCAGGGAATCAGCAAAGGAGCAGATCTTGCCAAGATGGAGGTCTTGAATGATCTGTCTTCTCAAACTCATCTTTCATGTCAGGCACTCTGTCCTGCTTTAATTTTAAGTACCTTTCAATTCATTGTCTATCTCCCTTTCCCAAGAACATTCCTGCTAGTTACTGTCAAAAATCTCTACACATTCCATATTGCATTTTTCTGGAAATTAGTCTGTTGCTTGGGCAAATCCCAAATTTCTCTACTTTTGTCTGGCTCTATTTTACTCGTTTTAGGTTGACACTTAGAAGCTTAACTCTTCAATTTTGGTCCTTTGCTTTCTTTGAATATTGAATATTTTTTATTAAATATTAAATAATTTAATAATTTATTAGAAGAAGAAAATGTAAACTGTTTAAGCATTTTAGAGTCAGTTACAATGAAGTGTTTCCATGTATTAGGCATGTTTTCATAAATACAATGCATAAGTATATTAAGAGTTATTTGGAATGTACTGTTGAGTTGGCTAAATAAATGTCACATCCTTTAAAGGAAATGAAGGTTTGGATAGTGTATCTCATATGAAAAGGGAAATGTAGGTAGCGGTATCAAAAATAATATGAGTTTCAGTTTATTTGATAAAATAAAAGTTACAGTGCAGATACAATAGATTAAAATCTCATAGGAGTGTATCTATAAGTAGTGAAGTATGCAACCATAAAAGGAAGAAAACAGCAATTCTGTATCTTGAAGAACGGAAGGGGAAATTAACTTTAAATTCTTAACAGGAAATATTTGATAATCATTGTTTATCAATTATAGCTATCATTTACTGAGTAAATGCTAGCCACTATCCTATTTTAATGAGCAAGGTGTTGGGATCTTCACCTTGCTGGTAAAGTAACTGAGACCAAGAAAAGTTGGTTAACTTGCCAGTGCAAGGTGTTGGCATCTTCACCTTGCAGATAAAGTAACTGAGACAAAGAGAAGTTGGTTAACTTGCCAGTGTTTCAGCAACAAGTAGTGGTGCTAATACAGAAACCATATCAATCTTGTACAAGAGCCCTTTTCTTCTATTACATATGTCATTATATATGTTTTACTACCTTTTATAGCAAAATTATTAAATAGAAATACTTTATGAAAGAAGGAGATGTGAACTTTGGGAGTCTTGTGTAAAAAATAGGAAAAGAACTACCAGAAAACCTGTTTAGTTCTGTGACTTACCTATGAAAACAGTTTTAGTTGAGTATATAAGCTATCTTATTTGAAGTGATTTTTAAAGATTGTACATTGAAGGGCATCAGAATTCTATTTAACAAATTCCAAACTTAGAATTCTTAATTTCCTTCTAAGTAGGATTATATAGGAATTAGTTGAAAAGCACAGTACTAAGTGTAAATTTGGGACCCGACCCTTTAAAAATGTATAGATAACTGTTGTCTAAAATTAGAGGTAAAAATCTATAGTTACTTAGAAGAAGTGGTCTTCAAAAAAAGAAAGTCATGGACATCTATGAAATGTTGAGCTCAGTTTTAACCCACTATAAATTTATTATCCCATAATATTAAAGGTTTATGTAAACTCTTGGCAGTTTTTATTTTGGAGGGTATTTGCTTTGTAATCATCCAGTTTACAAGCATAAGCACCTTTTGCATATTAGCAATTTTCTATTATTTGTTCTTTGGGTATTTTTTCCTATATTTTACAGTGTTTACTAAGGCTCAGATACAAGTTATTACAAGTGGCGTAAAATGTAGATGAGCTTTAAAAATGAGTCATATTTCCATGTCATTATTATTAAAATGTTGTTTGTATAAGAAGTAAAGCGTACATAATAATGAGTACTTCATCTACTGTCTGTTGATTTCTTTTTAAATTAAGTGAAGGAAACCATTCTTAGTATGAAAGCTAAAGGTTTACGATTATAAAATAAAATGTATGGATTATATACAGTGAAATTTTGCAGAAAGCAAATAGAGTATTTAACAGTTGATATCTTGGAGATTATAAATTCAGTCCTACCCCTGGGATTCTGGTTTTACATCTAACCCTTAGCTTTTTCTGACCTGGCTATAGTTTATTTCTTTTGATTACAGAACTAAGGTTAATAAACATTTTTATCAAATAAACTTAAAAAGGCTTATGCCTTACAAACCTAGGTGAAAAATTTTCTCCAAGGCAAATTCAACACTAAATATTTTTAAATTCCACGCAACAAAACCACAAAACCTATCATAGGCATCTTTAACCTGTCAGAATTTAAGTTTAAACACTAATAACATTTTAGTTTTTAAAATAAATTTTATATAAAGCAAAGATCAAACTAGATTGCCTTGTGAAAATTTTCTTACCTCAGCTGTTACTTCTTTTGCAGGATGCTAAATTCTTGTTCTAACTGGACATTTTGGTGATTTGACTAAGAAAGCAAAAAGGGTGGTTCAGTTCGGATCAAAAATGGTCCTCTAGCAAACTGAAATGTTTCCGTAGAAAAAGAGGAAGTTTATCAATAGTTGGTTCCGGAAGTGCAATAAGCCACAAAAAGACTAAGAAATGTATTACTTTAAGATACTTTATTTCGAAATATAATTTGAAGCTATATAATTTGAGTGCTTTTAATTAATGTTTATAAGTTAACACCCTTTAGTAATGTGATTATAAAATTTAAATAGTTAGTATATAACCTTGGAGAGGAAATTGTATGATCTAAGGAAAAACTGCAGGTTGGGTTATTACCCATAGTGGGATTTCTTGTAAAAACTGAATTATGTGTTCTGTTTATTTGTATGATGTTAGGCAAGTTGTTGCACTTCTGAGTCACCATTTCCTCCTTTGGAGGACTGTTTCCCTTACTGGGCTGTTGTGAGAATTAAATAAGATAACACATATAAATGCCTCTCACACAGTAGGTAGTATGTTATTTTCTCAAACATAAGTTAGGTAAAACCCAGGTTAAAATATTGCTAAAAATTTTTTACCCAAATACTTTACTAAATGAGTTTTTAGTTCAAATTCACAACCCTTTGATTACCCACAAAATGCCTGCTACTCAGTTGAAAGTAAAACAATCATTTTTCAAATAAGTTCACTAAGCAAAGTATATTGAAAAGCATATATGCATTACTCTGAATAAAAATTTCTTTGGGGAGGCCACCTTCCAGCCTCCTTCCTTAATTGAAAAATGAAGATCATAATCCCTAATTTCTAAGTTTATTATGGAAGTAAATAAATCTAAAGTGTCTATTATAACATGTATTGTAGTCAATAAAGTATTAAACCATGCCCTGCTTTCCCCTGATTACTACAGAAAAACACAGGTCATTAACACCTAGTTCTTACCTTAAAGGTACTCATAACTTGGTACAAAAAGAACAGTGTTGGGCCTCCCTGGTGGCGCAGCAGGTTGAGCACAGCGCTGTTAAGCTGTCCACAGCCTCTGCAGCCCGGGTTCAATCCCCAGCCGGCCAGGGAGATTCCCACATTTGGTCTGTCTGCCTGTTGTGCTCCCCACTCTGTGTCTGGTGAATCCTCTCACACTCCCACACCTCTGGCTTGTACCCCAGATATTACATAAATAAAAAATAAATCTTAAAAAAAAAAACAAAACAGTGTTTTGTTAAGGGATCCTGTTGTAAAGCAGAATATAAAAGTTAAAAAGTTGTTCGGCCTCCCCTGGTGGCACAGGCAGTTGAGCACCGCGCTGTGAAGCTGTCCACAGCCTCTGCAGTGCCAGTTCAATCCTGGCTGGCCTGTGAGGGTCCCACGTGGCGCAACAGACCTCTCCTGTCGCACCCACTGCTCCCCTCAGCAGTGTATTTCATCAGTCTGCCTGTTCTGTTCCCCGCTCTGTCTCTCGTGAATCCTCTCACCCTCCCGCGCATCTGGCCTGTACCCTGGTTCTTGTATAAAATAAATAAATCTTTAAAAAAAAAGTTATAAAGTTTTGAGTCACTGTTTTTTTTACCAGAATTAAGTGTGTGAACTATGATACAAGTATAGAAAACAAGTATCTTTAAACATTCTGCTTATGACCTGTCATTGATTGATATCTTTCTGAGGCTGTATATTGAATAATAATAAGTGATACATTTTAAATATTCTTGTAGCAGAAGCTTTCTGGTTTGTGAAAAAATATTTAAACTGTATGAAAGTGGTAGCATAGTCAACATATTTTAAAAGACACTAATTTGTTCTAATTTCCTCTGACAAGTATTTCTGTATTGATTCAGGAAGTGCTTTGTCTTAATGTTATTTGTTCTCGTACATGATCTCAAAATTTTAATTTGTATAAAATGGGAACTCTGCCCATTTTCATTTCCAGTCGGGCCCATTTTACCCTTCAAAAGATAACCTGATGTCACCATGATTGGCATGAATATTCTCTTGCTTTCCATTATACTTTGTTGACATTTTACTTTATCTGGAATAATAAATATGGTTATGACTTACTGTTTAGGGAGTGGATTTTTTTTTTTTTTACGGTTTGGTAATGAAGCGATAATAAAATTGATGCTCTGTTGTTTTCTTCTCATTTGAAGACGTGACCTAGATATTTGGAAACATGAAAGGTGTAAGAAATGCTTACAGTTTTTGCTTATGACCAAGGCAATATTGGAATTATTGCAATATGCAATAATTATGCAAAAATTACCAATGCCTGGGATTCAGCACATTCCAATTGCAACAGAAGGCAACAGTTAGAATTAGGCATTGGTAATTTTTAAAGACTCTTCAGGTGATTCTGATATGTAGCCAGGATAAGGAGAGTATTATGGTACTTCTTAGAAAAAATATGTGCTTTTCTTAGCTGGCTAGCATATTGCCCAAAGTAAATGCTCCATAAGGGAGAGTTTTGGTGGTGGTGTTTTTAACATGGCCTAGTCTCTTATTAGATTGTCTTGTGTCAATTTCAGTAGATAGTTGGAAAGTCTCTCAAACCAACTTTTGTAATATAGTTAAATGAAAAATGAAGTTTTGACTTGAATGTAAGTCATTATTTTACTTGAAAACACATTATCTTTTCTTTGCTCATGTCATATTGGGTAGTAAAAGCACATAGTTATTTGTTAGGCTAATTGGTATCCTTAAAATTCAAAGATTAATCAGTCTGTGGATATTTGCTATAAGTAAACTGGCAGGCAATTTTATTTAAAAAAAGGGATCTGACACTTAAACATTGAGACATGGACTTAGTTCAGCCTTCTGGTGTAGCTATAAGTATTATCTATGTTAGCTGTGCTCTGTTTCTTACTGATCTTTACAATGTATTCTTTCTGATAATAGAGTTAATACAAATACACATAGTTTATTTTGAGTCAATTTATTATACAAAATTAAGTTTTAGTTAAATATTTATGGTAGAAAAACACTTTCTTGCGTGCGCCATATATAAAGATGAAGATATCTAACATAAAATTAGCTGTGGTGATAAATTAGCCGGTATGGATTCTGTTATATTCAGCAGAAATAGTACTGCTTAAACTTTAAAGTTCAACTCTATGCATCGTAATTCAAGTTATGTTAGATGCTGGAAGTCTCTTAGGCTCCACTAAGACTCTTCCAAGTTCATCTAACTACATTGCTGAACAGCAAATATTTAATTGTCCTTTTCTACCTTTGTCAGTTTTTCAACTCATCCATGAAACCCTCCCCAAATGCTTGGTGGTTTTGTTTATTATCTATTTTTCACTTTCCAGAATATTATGTCAAAACAAAAGTGCACAGTTTGAGTAATTAAGTAAGCAGGCATACTTCTCACCTGCTTAAATCTAAATTGTAAGGCCTGCCATATCAAATTTTAGATCACCAGACCAACACGTTGGCATTAAATATCAAACTGACTTCATTTTTACTCCAAATACTTTCTCATGGCTATTTTGCATTTCTCTTCACTAAAACATCTGTTAGATAGTGCATTTTTCAGTTCTCTCATCATCTTTTCTTTCGCTTGTTGCTGTGAGTACTCCGGTAGATTGCATCATTAGGTTGGGCCCTGTGAACTGTTTTGCTCTTTTCCAAGTGTCTGATTCAGCAGGCCATAGACCACTGCTTGCCAGAAAATCGCCGTTGCTTCTAGGCTGACGCTTGCCTACTTGTTTTGAACGTCTGAGAGATGAGACTTTGTTCGCCAGAACCACAGTTGATAAAAATAGAAGGGTACAGATAAGAAAAAGCACTGCAATTATAATTAAGCAAACTAGCATAGCTGTTTTGTTGTTATTTTCCTCACAAACATCTTTTTTAAAAATTTCACTGTGATTTTTGCTTGTGTTTCTGATGCTCTGCACGGTTGGCGAACTATTCCTGACAACAGAGGGTGTATAGGGCTTCAGGTCAGATTTAGGAGTTAATGATACAGTGTGAAATGATGTTCCTCTTTCGGGCATGTTGGTAAAATTACCTTTCTTATCTACTTTAGTAGTTGTAGGGTTTGTAGTGTTTTCATTTTGGTTTCTGCCCATCTTATTTTGACTATCTGGATCCCCAACAGTGGTATCGTTAGCCCTCAAATGGGTATAGTTTGCTGTTGTTCCACAAGACAATACTGTCACCATCAGAAGGGCAAGATGCAGATAATGTTCTCTGTGTTCCATGTCCGTGAATGTGCTGGTATCTGTGGAGATAGCAGTATAGACTGTTAATTCCTGAAATGATGGTTCCTGTTTTTGGTAATTGCAGTTAAAAGATAGACAGCTGATATATTACAGCTAAGCTATAAGCTCATGCCTAACAATTCCTATCCTGTTTGAATTCCTCCCTTCCCCCAACTGAATTTTTTTCTGTAAGGCTGTGTAAAAAGAAGCAATTTAATATCTGTACTTTTCAGTGCTCAAAGTTAACATTGAAAATCTAACAAAATTTGTTAATCATTGTAAACTGGATGCTGGGGTTTTATACTATTTCTTCTTAAATATACTAGACTTCAGCTTTGAGTCAGGTACTTCTCCTTTTGCTTTTTTGATTCCTCCTTCCCTCCCCCTACCACCATTTCAGGATCTTTCTTGCAGAAACTCTTAACCCTCTAACAAATGTTAGCGATCTTTATAGTAAAGGAGAGATGTGATTTTGAGCATTTTGCTTCAAGTATAAAAAGTAAAAATGCCTTGGGGTGTGGTTGGGGGTGGGGTTTGTGAGGCGAAGTATGGTAGCAACTAAAGGAAAATAGGAATTTCAAATAGGAATTCAGTGTGTTCAGTTTTCTTCTTGGGTATTTATCTTGAAGTCTAGAATAAAGCTTGTGCTTAGAACTATATTCACAGTATTCATGAAAGCAATTTTGTAGTGCTTTTCGTTTCTGTGTCCCTTAACTTACTGTGACTTTCCAAAAACATAGACATGCCAATTTTTGTCTCAACCTAAAAATATGGCATTACAAAGAAAAAGAAGCAGATTTAGAAGAAATCTGCAAAAGTTACTGACTTTTTCATCTTCATTTTAACATCATACTCAGCAAAGTTGAATTTCAATTTGGGCACTAGCTCACTGGAAGCCAGTACAAAAATGGGACAGTTTTGTTTTTAATTCTTATTGTACACTATATTATTGAAGAACTACAACTGGCGTATCTGTTCTAGGTACTGGCTGCCCAGTAGGGAAAATTTTTACCACTATTTAGCTATCTCTTTTCTAATACTCAGTTGGTCTCAATTACTTTTCTAGGATTATTTTATTGTTGAGGGAGCTTGAAGCAATATCTAGATTATTCCCTTGAAGTTTTCTAAATTAAATTTCCTCTTTATAAGCCTTGTGTATTTTATAGCCATTTCTCTCAAATTTGAATGTGCATAGGTGTTTTTTTTTTTAAATGCAAATTCTAATGTAGTAAGTGTTGGAGGAGCCTGAGATTCTGTATTGCTAGCCTAAGCAGAACAGATAACCACTGCTAGCCATGCTTTTGAATATCAAGGGCTAATAAGAAGTTGTTATAAGTCATCAGCTAATATTTATATGCTGTTGATATATAAAAAGTGAGAATAAAAAAGGGGCCATGTTGAGTTACATAAGTAAAAGTAGTATATAATAAACAATGCTAACTGGAAACTAACCTCTCAGATAACATTTCCTATACATATAGCGAGGAAAAAAAGCTGTGTTAAATATTCCAGAATTATGATTGCTTTCTAGGTTGTGACCTTAAATAGACTGCTAAAGATATTGTGCCTTGACTTTTGTGTAATAGTGTTGAGCTTCAATTGTTAAGTTGAATGACATAAATCTTTGGCTATTCTACAATTATTTCACAAAAACAAATACTTGGGTTACGAAGTAATTTCTATCCTGTTCATACTAGCCTGAATTTCTGTATTAGATGCTAAAACAATTAAATTGGGTTATTCTTGTCATATGAGTTCATTAACAATGTAGTATGCATCATGGTATTCTTACACACTTTAACAGTGCTTACCACAGGATGGATAATAAATAATAGGCCTGCTGTTGATTGTCTTCAGCCAGATGTAGTGCCATCCCCAAATAAACAAACCATTGTCAAAGTGAGACTTTCTCCTACCCTTACAAATGCCTGAATTGAGGTCTGTCTATATATCCCTAACTTAGGCCTTGGACTCCAGGTTATGTTATCAAAAGTTTTATCTCTGGTCATTTCCAATCAAATTTATAATGCCTAAGCATTAGTAATGAGAAATTTATTTTTTTGGCTTTTTTCATAACAGAACTTTCCAATTCAATTGTGGAATCTAAATTCAGATCCTTCCAAATCCTCATTTAAAATTCTATGTTGGTAGTAAATCTACTTCTAACTGAAATTTTACTTACTAGGACAGAAAATAACATTTTCAATTCTTACAATTCTACTTTGTTAGTGAGAGTTTCAGTTCTAGCTGAAAGAACTTCCTCAAATAATAATTAGTACAAAGTTATAAGTGAAAAGGGGTAAGAAAAGCCGCATAGGTCACCTACCTTAAAAAGTGCTTGGTCAAAATTTGATTATAAACTGATTCTAATAAGCCACTTCTTGTCTTGTCTTGAAACACAGATTCCAGGTAATTTAAAGCAGAATAGAATTGAAGAATATGAGCCTTCAAGTAAATCTGCAGTAAAAAAGGATATGTACAGCTAGCTTTCCACTTTTAAAACCAAACCACAGATGACACATTTCCTTTCCACTGCAACTGAAGCACATGTCACAGGGGGGAAAAAAACTCCAATGTGTCTAGTTGCCCGCTGGCATGACAGGAGGCTTTGTAGAACAAGTCCCCGCCTCCAGGGCAGGGAGGGTTTTCCACTTAGTGCCTTTTGACCTTATGCTCATTATATTTGTCTGACACACACGCTCATTATCTATGCCTGCTAATATATGCTTGTCAGAATCATTCAAAAGAAGATGAAATAGCATTTTACCTGCACATTAAAATCTTCTCTAAAAATTTTATTTGTATACCCCAGGCTGACTTGGTAAGTGAGTTGAATATCTGGTTATTGGTCAGATCAAAGAAACAGTGATATACATCACCAGTACTTCAAATTGTGAAGCTGCAACAGTGATTTTTTGGGCTCTCTAACTCTCCTCTTTCCCAAACGCCCTGTCATCACCTCACATTATTCTGAAATGGACTTCATTTTCCCCAAGAAGTGGCTGCCCCTATTTCTTTGTCTGTGATAACAACATTCTTTGTAATCTCAGATGTCTAATATGTAGCAAGTTATTTTAATTCAAGTCCTTTCTTTCAGCCAATATTAGAACTTATATCACGTTTGTCCTTTCATATTCCTGGATTCATTTCTTTCCAGTTTTTACTCTCACTGTTCTATTTTAGATTCTTATTAGGCCATACCCAGACTACTACAGGATTCTTTTCGCTAGTCCTCTCTCATATACATTGTATATATCACTTCCTTTGATCATATTACCTCTTTCTAAAAAAAAAAAAAAACCTCCTTAAATCCTACAGCAGAGATTCTGAAAAGTTTATGTACATAAATATCAAATGAGAAAGTTACTTTAAAACATTGAAAATTGTCAGGTCCCACTGCATAAATTCATAGGTAGCAAATATGGGCTGGGATCAGGAAACTGCATTTTTGTCAAGGCCCACAGTTGAAATTGATTCTGGTGCCTCACACCCTGAAAAAAACCCAGCTCGTAGGAGAAAACTTGAGACCTCAGCAGAACAGTTTTGATCCCTTTACGATTTGGCTATTAGGTATTTTTCCAGCTCGTCTATTAAGACTTCTCTACATGAACCCTCCATTCTCGCTAAATTAGTTGACTGTTGCTTGAACATATCTAGTTACCTTTTTCTTTTCCTCTCTCCACAAGGCGGGGCCTGCCAATCCCCTCTCTTGTTGAGTTCAAAATTCCTTACTGTGCTTTCTATGTAGTTTTCACTAATAACGCGGTTTGTGCTGATCTCACACTCTTCTGAACTTTGTAGCAGTGTTTTTCTCTGCAATTCCCTTGATAAGTGATTACATACTGGTTTGAACTATTTGTTTTTTATCTTATGTCATCCCCAAAAGATTACAAGCTCTGAGGTGAGGATATTTTTTTTAGCTTTTTTTGTGTACTACTACCAGAGTTATCTGGTATAGACCACTGGGCGAAAGTTAATATGGATTGTTTTGAGTTAAAATTCTAGTACTGTCTTCTTCAGGGCTTTCTGATGGTCTTTATCTTGGCTATATACATTGATTAGAGTTGTTTTCATTGTAAGCAACATATGACCTAAAATGGTTTAATAAAAAAATGGAGTTTATTGGTTCACACAACTCAGTAGTCCAGGGATAAATTTCATCTCAGGAGAGACTTTATCTAGGATTCAAATGCCAGGACCCCAGTTTCCATCTTCATTAATCAGCTCCATTTCCTTAGTTGTTAGGCAGGCTTCTCCTTTATCATGCTCCAAGATACAAGCAACAACCATGTGTTCCCTTGTTTATAAGTGTTAGAAAAGAAAAAGTATTAAATTCCTGCAGTCTAAGCTAAAATCTCTGAATTGGGCCTCTTTAGTCCTGGTTACCCTGATTTTAGCCATGTAATCAACGATAAACAATTCTTTCAGGTCAAGGTAGGATAAATAAATTGGCTCTAAGTAGACCATTCCCACCCACACTGTTGATCTGGGAAGTTTGGTGGGTCTGGAAGCAACTAACCAACTGTGGTGGGCAAGTTTGTTGTTACTATTGCTCACAGTTTTTGAATTGGAGGTATTTTACTTACATTTTACTTTAGTCTCAATTCTTTAATTTCTAACAAACAACTGGATTAAAAAACTGATCCAGACTTCATGTAATTATATTATTGAAGTTTTCTCTAGAAAACTAATCATAAAATAAGGTAATAAATTAGATTAATAGTATCTATATATTTATTCAGGACTCTGTTAAAGAACTGTCTTTTTTTTGTCATCTTCCTTAGGTTCAAAACTGGTCAGATCAATGGTGATTTGCTGATATACCACGTCTTGCTGACTTTAAAGCCATATTATGCAAAGCCATATGAAATTGTAGTAGACCTTACCCATACTGGGCCTAGCAATCGCTTTAAAACGGACTTTCTTTCCAAGTGGTTTGTTGTTTTTCCTGGCTTTGCTTATGACAATGTCTCTGCAGTCTATATCTATAACTGTAACTCCTGGGTCAGGGAGTATACCAAGTATCACGAGCGGCTGCTCACTGGCCTCAAAGGCAGCAAAAGACTCGTTTTCATAGACTCTCCTGGGAAACTGGCTGAGCACATAGAGCATGAGCAACAGAAATTACCAGCTGCCACCTTGGCTTTAGAAGAGGATCTGAAGGTATTCCACAATGCTCTCAAGTTAGCTCACAAGGACACCAAGGTTTCTATTAAAGTAAGTTTCATCTGTCTGGTACATGATTCATTGACTTTCTTTACTAATCAGACAATATGCTGGCATGTCTAAGTGTCTCTGTAGTATACATCAAATGTAAATTCCAAATGAAGGGCAACCAAGCTTTCTATCCTCAAAGGGGCCCTGCAGAGATATTAAAGACGTGTACTTGATTATAATCTGTGTTGAATTGGAGGCAGAAGAGTGTTATAGAAAGAACAATTTGGTCTATACCAGTCAATAGGTAGGAATGTTTGGAGAAGGGTAATTACCTGTTGAGCATTCCAATTATTACATGTTTCTTACAGAGTAAGAACATGAATCTTCAGTATAGAATTAGTATTTGTCAGTAGGATTCTTGACCCTCAATTTTTTTCTGATGTGTTCAGTCTCTTGATAACATTTATCACAGTGATTATTGAATCTACTTGAATATACAATGGTGGTAACTTCTTAAAATGGCAAATATGGTAATTTGTTAATGGGTTTGATTTTTTGGAGCCTCTTAGACTTCTGCAAAATAGAATCTAATTCCTCTCTACTCTGCCCCTTCACCACCACTTTCCAGGTTGGTTCTACTGCTGTTCAAGTAACCTCAGCAGAGCGAACAAAAGTCCTGGGACAATCAGTCTTTCTAAATGATATCTACTATGCTTCTGAAATTGAGGAGATCTGCCTAGTGGATGAGAACCAGTTCACCTTAACTATTGCAAACCAGGGCACACCACTCACCTTCATGCACCAGGAGTGCGAAGCCATTGTCCAGTCTATCATTCACATCCGGACACGCTGGGAGCTGTCTCAGCCTGACTCCATCCCCCAGCACACCAAAATTCGGCCAAAAGATGTCCCTGGGACACTGCTCAATATCGCATTACTTAATTTAGGCAGCTCAGATCCTAGTTTACGGTAGGTTAAAAAAAAAATTTACTTCAGTTTTGTTCAGAGTTTGTTGCTTTTAAAATGGGACCACTTAATATGCTTTAAAAAAAATTAATGCTGGACCATTATTTTACATCTTTGTTTGAAAATTTGAAGGTATGCTATGTTGGTTAACCAGCATGACCTCATCAGGTTGTGGAGTATCCACATGAATTGTGGAATTCTGAATAGGGTGATTCACACTAAACCAGTGTTTGTTCTTTCTCCAGGATAGTGATCTGAAACAGAAAACATGGCACATCTGTTTGTTTGGGGTTTCCCCCACAAAAAAGTTTTTTTGTTATTTTAAGTTTACATCTAATCTACGTTTTCCACCTCTGAGTTCTCTTAAATTTCTCCATGTTTAAACGTATGTCGTTATTAGTTTTTTCTTGAAATCAAATGAGATTATCATTGTTTGACAAAGCAGGTCTGATGTTCAGTTACTCCAAAAAAAAAAAAAAAAAAAAAAACACGTTTCATATTTTCCAAAAGATGTAAATACGACTATAACAAAATTCTTGAAAGAAATCTTGAGACAAATACACACATGTCATCTGAGTATAGTTGGTTTTGTTTAGGTATAATAAGCTGAACATGAACAAGAAAAATAGAGAGCCTTTGGAATCATTAGATTTGGTTAAAAATCTAAATTTACTACTATGTATAACTATGAGCAAGGTGCCAAGATTCTGAGTTCTTGCTTCCTTGTTCTTTAAATAAAGGTAAGATAGTGTCCTTATATACCTACAAAGGTTTAATAGTATGTGCGGCAGTTTATTATATAGCACCTAACAAATAGTCTGTGCTTAGTAAACATTTTCTCCCAACCGTGCTTCACTTTCTCTTTGTACCCCTCCTCCCTCCTCCCCTCCTTTTCATGTGAGGATAATTCTTTGTCATAAGTACCTTGAGATTGTTAAGAGTTCGAGAGAGAGAAATTTTTAGCTTTGGAAAATCTTTCCTAGTGTATAATACAGCCCAGGTTTTATTAGAGGATCGTTTAGTATTCTAGTGTCTCCCTTACTTAAAAGGGGGAAAAATCAACGAGATTCTGTACTTGAATTGGGCCTCACGGGATCTGTGAACACTCAAAAATTATACACAAAATTTTGTGCATGCTTATCTTTCTTTTACCCCGGAGAAGAATAGCCAATTTGAGGAACTCCCATTCCTGTAGCTATTAGAAGATACAGAGTCAGTGTCAAAATAGTATAACTCAAAGTTCATAGGAATTAGTAAGCATACATAAACTTAGAAACAATTATATTAATATTCTCAGTTTAGCAAAATGGAGCTACTAGCCTGCCTTTAATTTTTAATTCAAAGTTCTTCGCAGAAGAATGCCAACAGTCTTCTAGCAATTACTAGCTTGAATGAATCTGTATTGTTCCCTTGTGAAATAAAGCAAGCTGATAGCTACTGCTCTTTGCTGAAGCATGTCATCTCAGAGAAAAGGATGTTAGAAGACTTAAATTTCAGTGGCTTTTTCTTCCTCTGTGGTTGCTGCATAAATATATTAGCACAATGAAAGTTTGGAGAAAAGGAAAAAGTGAAATCACTAAGAAGTGAAACAATCTTTGCTGGATAGGAGAGGAAAATTATTTTAAAATTGAGTGATTTTTTTTGAGCTATTTCCAAAATTATTTAAATGTATTTTCAGACATTTATAAGGGACTTTTGATTCTAATGGAACCTGAATATAAATTATGTTTTTTTCTTTTTCATTATTATATATAACGGAAAGAGTTTATGGAAGGACAAATGGGAGCAACCGAACTATGTTAATTTTTTTTGACCTTCAGTTTATAGTATAAAATAATATAAAACCCAGAAAGAAGTTCAGTGGATGCTGATTTAAAATTTTAGCATTCTATTTGATGAAAACATTCAGTTTTATTCTTATGATTCCCATTATAACTGGTTCTAGTGGGAGAGGAAATCACAATTCAAGTTTGGAACTCGCTGAAAACATATTATGCCTTATTCTGACTTTGTATTGATCCACCTTAGGTCCATAAACCTCTCATTTTATGTCCAGTGAAATGGCTTTTAAGGGAGACCTTATACTCAAGTATCTTAAGAGACTCACAGTCGTCTTCTGGCTATGTCAGAAATCTCCCTTAAAAAGATCACCAACTGATCAAGAGGTATTTTTGGTTTAAACCATAAAGTCATAACATCTCTAATCATAAAATTTAGTAATAGTTGGTTTTGCTTTGTAATAGAATAAGTTGTATGTTATTTAAAAAATTTGGAATTGTAAGAAAAAACAAGTTCTAAAACAACTTCATTTGTGCTTTCTCCTAGGTCAGCTGCCTATAATCTTCTGTGTGCCTTAACTTGTACCTTTAATTTAAAAATCGAGGGCCAGTTACTAGAGACATCAGGTCTATGTATCCCTGCCAACAACACTCTTTTTATTGTCTCTATTAGTAAGACACTGGCAGCCAATGAGCCACACCTCACCTTAGAATTTTTGGAAGAGTGTATTTCTGGATTTAGCAAATCTAGTAAGTAATGATAATTTTCTTTAATATAATAATGATTCTAACAGGATTCAAAGACAACCCTTTCATTTCAGAATTTGCCAGTGAAATCTTTAATTAATTACATTTTCACTTCTTTACTCTTCTGAATTTTCACCAGTGGTATTCTATGACTGAAGGAATTCTAAAGGAACTTACTGTTAACACTACATTAAGAAATCCACCAAAATTCTGGCAATAAAAGCAAGGTGGCAAGATTTTAATATTTTGCCTTTCTCTGGACTGTTTACAGAGTATTTTTTGCACTGTGTTTCAGTTTAATTAGCTTCAGCAATTCTCCTCTTCGATTATTCCAAATAAGTATTTATGTTGTCCCCTTGATTTTAGGAAACAAGTCATTTTCTCTTTACTTAGGTTGACTTTGAACTATGATTTTATCATTTATGGACATATTGCACATGCAGAATGCAGTGGCATATAATACAGGGTCCAGAGACAATCTGTCTTGAATAAGTCTCATAAATCTAGCACACACTCATTACATCTCTGTATCTTCCTACCCTGTAGTTGTATAAATGTTGCTCTTTTCCCAGCTTTACTTCCTGACATTTTTTCCCTTCCCTTTTTCCATAATACATAAAACTTTATTTTTCTGCATTTAAGCACATTTCTTAATTTTTTTTAGTATTAGGTAGTTGAAAACCTTCATAATTCATTGAAACCAGATCACTATATGTAGATTTTATAAGAAGAGATGTAAGAATGTAACCTTTAAAAGAAAATTTGTAGGGCTGACAAAACAAGGAAAGTGTAAAGCTTTATTGAGAATCACGAAAAATTGAATGAACAGACATATTTTATTAATGAACAATTCTTCCCAGATTACTACAGATCCAAAGCAATCCCATCAAAATAACTAAGGGATTTGAGGATAAAGAATGAGGCATAGGACACAGCAGATGCATGATACTAGCAAGCCAGACTGATGGCCTCAAGCTCATGTACCCCAAACAGCAGCAAATGTGGCACTCCCACAGCACCACCCAGTCAGTTCTATGCAGTCACAACGATGCTCACCTACTGAAAGCAGTCAGGTTGTATTAATATCCCCACCCACTGTGCCACCCCAACATAGCGAGGTAGGTATGCACCTTGAATCCTTCATTCAAGTGACCAGAGAATAGTGAGTCCTGAACTCCAGAACACATCAAATGCACAAGTTAAATCTTTGAGACTAGGAGAGGAGGTAGAGTGTTGCCTAATACATGGAAACAAACAGAATCAGACAAAATGGGGAGACAGAGAAGAACATATATTAAATGAGAGAGCAAGACAGATCCAGAGGAAAAATAGAGATAAACTTCCTGACGAAGTTCAAAGTAAATATGCTTCCTGAACTTGGGAGAAGAATGAATGAACAGGAAAGCTTAAGAAAGACCCCAATATGAGGCATGAAACTGAGGAATACAATGCTAGAATTGAAAAAATGCAGAGGAGCAGAAGAGCAGATAAGTGAGCAATAAAACAAAGAAGTAGAACTTACCCAGACAGACAACAAAATGAAAAAGAATTTTAAAAAGTGAAGATACCTTAAGAGATCCCTGAGAAAGTATCAAGAGGGATTACATTTGCATTCTCCCAGATGGAGAAGAGAAAGGGGTACAACAATTATTTGAGGAAATGATGGCCAAAAACTTACCTAATTTGGAGAAGGTAACATATGTAGGACTCCAGAGAGTTCCAAATAAGAGGATCCCAAAGAGATCCACACCAAGATATCTTATAATTAAGACGGTGACTGTTAAAGAGGATTGTAAAAGCAGTAAGAGAAAATCAGCTTGCTGCATACAAGAACTCCATGAGGATATCATCAGATTTTTCAACAGAAACTTTGCACACCAGAAGAGAGTGGCTGAGGTACTCAAAGTGCTAAAAGGAAAAAACTTCTAACCAAGAATGATAATCCTGCCAAGGGTTGTTTCTTTCTAGTTGAAAGAAACATTAGAGTTTCTCATACAAGCAAAAACAAAAGAAGTTCATCATTACTAAATTGCAATGCAAGAAATGTTAAAGGGTCTTCTCTAAACTGGGGGAAAATGTGGCTCTAGCAACAAAGAAAAATACAAATGAAATCTCATTAGAAAAGTGGTTATTTATAATAACCAAGATGTGATGACAACTTAAGTACTTACCATAGATGAATGGCTATACATAATGAAATACTATTAAAAAAAAAAAAAATGAAGTCCTGCCATTTCCCCAATATGGGTGGGCCTTGACAGGGTTATAAGTGAAATAAATCAGATTGAGAAAGACAAACACCATATACTTTCTTTCATATATGGAAGATAAAGCAAATGAACAAACGTAATAAGCTCTTAGATTCTCACACCCAAATGGTGGTTACCAGAGGGACAGGTGGGTGGGAGTGTTAAAAGAATGGGTCTGTTCTATAGTGGTGGGTAGAAACTAGGTTTTTGGTGGCTTTCATAATGAGGTATATATAGGTGTTGATATAAAGCTGAAACTTATGCATTGTCATAAATCAGTGTTACCTCAGTAAAAAGGAATAAGTAAATAAAGATCTGAAAACCAAAGACAGTTATTACATGAGATCACTTAAATGTGATACCTAAAATGCATAGAAAAAAACTCACAGAAAGTAGAAACTTGTAAAGAATAAAATGGCTGCCAGGGATGGGAGGGTTGGGACAAATGGAGAGAGGTTGGTAAAAGGGTACATACTTGAAGTTGTAAGATGAATATGATCTGAGGCTCTCATGTATAATATGGTGATAAGTTGGTGATACTGTATTGTATCATTGAACGTTACTAAGAGTAGAACTTAAGTGTTTACAAACACAAAAAAAGTAAAAATATGTGGTGATAGATTGTGGCAACCCTTTCACAGTGCATACTTATATCAAATCGTCACATTGCATGCTTTAAAAATATTACAATTTTATTTTTCAATTATAACTCAATAAAACTAGAAAAATGAGGAAGAACCTAAAATGATTGCAAATTTTACTTGAAAGTGCGGAAACAGCTATGACAATGTTGAAAAGAAAAACAGAAATTCGGCATTACAGGTATCTGAACAAAGTATAGCATTACAATAATTAAAACAGAGTATTCAAGAATCAGCAGTCAGATGACTTTAAAGGATACAGATTGGTAAAGAAGCACCCCCAAAGTGATGGGAGAGAGATTATATCATTTCAGAAATAAGATTGGGGAATGAATTAAATTGGGTCTTCATTCCAGTCCTCAAGATACCAAAATAAGTTCTGCTGTATTTAAGAGCATGAAAAAACTGGAAACATTAAAAGAAGAGGAAAAATACTTAGATGCTTTCTTATTCAGAAGACTTATGAAGCAAAAAAGTGATAGATGAAAACAAAGGAAATACACTTTTGACCAAGTAAAACTTCAAAACATCTCTACTTCAAAAAATACGAGTAAAAGTTAAAACTAGGAACTGTTTGCAGCAACTATGAGATTAATATCTTTAACCATAATGAGTTCTTAGAGATTAAGGAGAGAAATGGATCAGTAGCATGTAAGTCATGATAAAAAAAGAATATGTTTTACTAATAAAAATTAAAGTAAGATAATATATTCAACTATCAAATTGGATGAAAAAAATTTTACATAGTGTTGATGGCCTGTGGAATTGTAAACAGTAGTAATATTTTCTAGAAAGCAGTTTGAACATGGATATCAAGATCCTTAAGAATGTTCATACCGTTTGACCTCATAATTCTACTTTTTACAGTGTATCCTAAGGAATTGATGTTCAGATGTTTATCATAGCATTATTTTTCATTCATATTTTTTAAGTGCTTAAATTTTAGGTGAGTGGCTTTATGAGTTTTTACCTGTGAATCACAAACCATTTCCCAGATCAAGATACAAGACATTGCCAGCATCCAGAGATTTCTTGTCAGTTAATATTGTTCCCTCACCATGAGTAACCATTGTTTGACATCTGTTACCATAGATTTATTTTGCCTACTTTTGACCTTTATACAACATTATTTATAATAGCAAAAATTGAAGCAGTCTAAAACTAAAATAATAAAAAAAACCTAAGTTTTCAGATCTGGATGGAGTAATATGAAGTACACATTTTCAGTTTGGGAAAAAAGGTTCTGGAGATAAATGGTGGTGATAATTAACACAACGGTGTGAATATACTAATGCCACTGAACTGAACACAAAAAATGGAAAGTTTTATGTTGTGTTTATTTTACCAACCCCCAAAAAAGTCCTTTGGGGACTCTAGGTGAACTTACATAGAGAATTTTTTTCCCCATTTCTGTATCTTTTCGTAAGACTAGAAGTTACTTCAAAATAAAAGTTAAAAATGTTTGTGAAGAATTTTAAGTGAATAAATAATCTCAGTATAATGTATAGTGAAAAACATTCAGAACATACTGCATATATAGCATAATCCTAATTTTTGCGAATTAGTTGGAGTTGGTTCATGTATAGATATACACACATAAATATTATATTTACATGGGTTTGGGAAAAAACCTGAAGAGATGAAGTATGATCCACCAATATATATGGATTTCATTTTTGTGGAGTGATTTCCTTTTGCCAAACTTTCTATGTTACTTTATTAGAGTATAATGTATAACATATTTATTAACAATAAGTAATAAGGAATCACTGCATATTCATTTTATAATTTGAATAAAACTTAACCGATTTTTTAACTAAAAGAGACATTATTAAAAAGGGTGTCAAAAAACAAAACTTTAAAAATAGGCTTACTATTAAAATAACTTTCTTTAAGACTTACTCTCTTTCTTCATCTCTGTTTTCAATAATATATTGTCCAAACCTTCAATCCTTTATTTTTAAATAATTGTTGATGTAATTTTCATTGACTGTGTTAATAATGTATTTCCCCCCCTCCCCCTGCCAGGTATTGAATTAAAACACCTTTGTTTGGAATACATGACTCCATGGCTGTCTAACCTAGTCCGTTTTTGTAAGCATAATGATGATGCCAAACGACAGAGAGTTACTGCTATTCTCGATAAATTGATAACAATGACTATAAATGAAAAACAGATGTACCCATCTATTCAAGCAAAAATATGGGGGAGCCTTGGGCAGGTATTGCATTTGTTTAAAGATTCATCTAGTATGACATTCAAGCACATACCTATCCGGAACCCACTTTTTGCAGAAGCACCACGCTTAGCACTACAGATATAGCTGTAAAATAGACGTTCTTCTCTTCAGAAAGCATGCACAGACCTACCTAATTCTTTATGTGGTAAAGATCGCAAATGTCTAGTGCATGTCTCAGAGAACAATTATTTTAACACTCTTCTCTCTGGCACAATTATGTCAAATTTAACTGTAAAAATCTTATGTCATTTCTAGTAAATAGAATGTCATTTCTGTTGACTTGTTCCTCAAACTATAATGGAAGTATTTCAGGTAAATATCATTTCTTCAAAGTAATCACTGGAGGAACACCCTTTTTCAGATAGTGCCATAAATACTCCAAATAATTTTAGCAAATCCTCCAAATAATTTTAAGTGACCTTGGAGCCAATTTCATAGCCTTAAAAACATCTCAGCACTTGATGTTACTTCCTATATTTTAAAATAACTATATTTCATTTTGATCGTACATTATTATCTTAAAATAGAGATGCTTTGCAACTGAATGAAAGTAATACATGTGAAATTTTTTGTTTTTGAATACCAGTCTCTTAATCTCTGGAGGAATCAAATGAATATCCTAATCCTTTTTGGATATTTTATGATAGATTATATTTGCTACCAGGTCTGTAATTATAATGTATTTCAGAGCATCAGATAAAAAGAATTTTCATGTTAATTGGGCTTCTCCTTGAAGTCTTTTTAAATTATGAAAATTAATTTGGTAGAGCGACTAAAACAAGTTAACTTTGCTCTTTCCCACCAGATTACAGATCTCCTTGATGTTGTACTAGACAGTTTCATCAAAACCAGTGCAACAGGTGGCTTGGGATCAATAAAAGCTGAGGTGATGGCAGATACTGCTGTAGCTCTGGCTTCTGGAAATGTGAAATTGGTTTCAAGCAAGGTAATGACTTTTCCTTTTTCCTGGACTATGGCATGATATATTATCATTAGAAGGGTTCTTTTGTTTTCTAGTTAGTCATTTTAAAGTTAAAATGAATTTTTTATAAGACTTTTTTAAAAATTCTGCTTTACAGGTTATTGGAAGGATGTGCAAAATAATTGACAAGACATGCTTATCTCCAACTCCTACTTTAGAACAACATCTTATGTGGGATGATATTGCTATTCTAGCACGCTACATGCTAATGCTCTCCTTCAACAACTCCCTCGATGTGGCAGCTCATCTCCCCTACCTCTTCCATGTTGTTACTTTCTTAGTAGCCACAGGGCCACTGTCCCTGAGAGCATCTACACATGGATTGGTCATTAATATCATTCATTCTCTGTGTACTTGTTCACAGCTTCATTTTAGTGGTAAGTTCCAGGAAAGTAATTTCTGTTTCACGGGTTTCTTTCTCCATTTTATGCTACCTACTTAGCCTGGATAGTATTATTAGTTACTTTAATGCCTCGACATCAAGCTACTTATTTAAGCCTATGGCGATGACATGAAATTTTATGAAAAAGAAAGAATAAATTGCTTCCATTCCGTATCAAGCTGTTGGATAGACTTTCTGTGTATGTTTGTTGTATAGATACATGTAGATATCAAATAGGCTAAAGACTCTGCACCAGTTGACAGTATTGCATTACTAACACAAATTTGTGGATGAATGGCACTAAAGCAATGAGTATTAAGATAATGTATGTAGAAGGTTGATGTAATTTTGATTATGATATTCAAGTTTTCTAAATTCAAAATGCAACATGGTACTTCAGAATTTAAAAATTAATATCTTTTAAAGTGTTTACTTGTTCCTTTTTTCTTTTACAGAAGAAACCAAGCAAGTTTTGAGACTCAGTTTGACAGAATTCTCATTACCCAAGTTTTACTTGCTGTTTGGCATTAGCAAAGTGAAGTCAGCTGCTGTCATTGCATTTCGTTCCAGTTATCGGGACAGGTCATTCTCTCCTGGCTCCTATGAGAGGGAAACATTTGCTTTGACATCCTTGGAGACAGTCACAGAAGCTTTGTTGGAGATCATGGAGGTATATAAAGCAAAGTGACAAGAAACTTAGATCATGTTTTAAAATGCACTAGTACTGTATAGAAGAAATAAATACTGGTTTATTCTACCTTTATTTAATGCTTAAATAAATATTCCATGGAATGTGTTTATTGATGACATATATTTCATTTATAAAATGACATTACAATAAGCATTTAAGTGTTTATAAAAACATTTATGTCCATAAATATATTGAGTATCTTTTTTTTTAAGGCATGTATGAGAGATATTCCAACATGCAAGTGGCTGGATCAGTGGACAGAGCTAGCTCAAAGGTATGTCTCAAATGTAAGTTGTAAAAGTGTGTGTTGTTGAAAAGAGAGATACTACTTTACTGCATAATCAATGTTTTACTTATTTAGTGTATATATAAACAGAGGTTTTTCATAAGCTCATTGGATGTTTTATTGCAGATTTGCATTCCAGTATAATCCATCCCTGCAACCAAGAGCTCTTGTGGTCTTTGGCTGTATTAGCAAACGAGTATCTCATGGGCAAATAAAGCAGATAATCCGTATTCTTAGCAAGGTACCTCCCCCTACCCTCCTCCCAATTATTTGTTGTTCCCAGCTGTAAACAATATCTTACATTTTTCTAAGGGACATTTAAAATTGAATTTAATAAAATGTCTTGTATAGTGCTTATTGAATATTTTTAAAATGGGTTTTGGTTTTTTACTTTTGTAATTAGAAGTGAAGAATACTCTAAAGAAGAGGTCTTTAAAAGAAAATAAGTATTGTCTCTTGCTAAGACAGTATACTGTTGATATTTTATCAGTTTTCAAAGCATTTGACTATGACTGTAGAGCTTAATATAAAATCATACATTTTGTAATTAACTTAATAATGTCTGATTTTTTATATATTAAAAAATAAGAACTCAAATGTGTATTGAGCTGACTACTAGGATCTGCACAGCACTGTAAATAATTCTAGCACTTATTAAATAAGCAGTTATTCCTGAACTAATCCTCAGATTCAAATTAGGAGTTAATGTTTTATTTCACTGAAAGTAAAATAAAGAATTCTGTTTCCCTAACAGGCACTTGAGAGTTGCTTAAAAGGACCTGATACTTACAACAGTCAAGTTCTGATAGAAGCTACAGTAATAGCACTAACCAAATTACAACCACTTCTTAATAAGGTAATTAACTCTAAAGAAAATGAGCACATTCACTTTGGGGTATCTATGTTAAATGTGATTTTGTCTTATTTTTCAAAGAGTTCAGAAAACAAGGATGAGGAAGAAACTATAAAGAAAAAGCTATAGTTACAGTGTAACTCCTTGTCTTAAAATTCAGTTGTTTGAAGTATTTACATTAGCGGAAGACTAAAGAATATATTCTGAAGTGCTTGTAAGTCATGCTTCTTCAGTGCTAAAAGAAAGATAATATACTTAATTCTTTGATTCAGTAGGTATTAATTGAGCATTAATTGACTGCTACGTGCCAAGTACTGTTTTAAGTGCTAGAGGTATAGTACTGTAAAATCCTTTGCCCTTATGAAGTTTGTATTCTTGGTTGAGTGTGGGAATTGGGGAATGAATGAATAATAAAAACAAAAGGCAAATAAAATATATGGTATGTTTATGGTCATTACTAGGTGAAGTATACCAAAATGAAAATGCATACATAATGCAAAAATGAAAAATGATGTAAGAATTATATAAAATAAAATAATTTATTAAAAAAAAGAGTTTGGTTGCTAAAAGATGATACTTGAAAGGAGTAGATTCATGTAGCCACTGTTTTAGGATGATCTGAGCTGATCTCAGCTTTTTGACCTCAAATAGATCATTAACATGCACAGACATCATATTTCCACATGGATAAAATGAATAAACTGGACTAAATAATCACACAATATCTAGGATATTATTATTTACAGCGGAATAATATCCTACTGTAAAGATGTAGATTCCTGCTATTGAGTTAATATGTTCTCCATATATCCTAACCCTAAATTGTACAAAGTGGTTCTCTTATCTTCATAAGTTAAGATGAGACTCACAAGGGCTAAATAACCTGCCAAGGCCATGCACCTAATTAAAGACAGACCCATGATTCTAATCTGAGGCTAGCTGATTCTGAAGTCCGTGTATTTTTCTATATACCATACAGCTAAGTAGGGGCTCCCCAAGATAAGAGAGAGATTACTATACTGATAAGAGTGAAAAGAAAGTTGAAAGAATAGAATCTAAAGTTAAAGAGATGGGTAGGATTTAATATAAAGAAAGGGACAAAGCCTTGAGTAGAACTGTAAAGAATGCTGGGACATTGGAGGGATGGTGTCTCATCATTCTGTTGAAATGGAGAAAATATTCAGGAAAATAGTGAGAGGGAAGGTTGTAAAGTTTAGCTAGAGCTAATTTAACATCCAGCATTCTTCAGAAAAGAAGTTTGAAATATACATGTATTTGCAAGCGGATAAATAATATGACAAAAGCAGGAGTTAGAGTTTTCTGATGGTGTTGTAGACAGTAAAATAGAATGGGGAGAAAGAATCCATATTGAGAACAAAGAAGGCTGGCAAAGAATAGTGTCAGTAGCAAGTAAGCAGATACAAAAGAAATTACTTTGAAAGAATCAAGAAAATTTAATTACTGGATTTTGGAGTCAAAGAAAAGGGAGAAACCAAATTTGCTAAGCTCTCAGTATGGCTAATGGTGTCTTCAGTTAAATAGATGGAAGAGATGAAGTTTGCCCATGTATTTACCTTCCACAAAAGAGAAAGTATGCATAATCTGGGGAATTACAGGCTTCACTTTGTACTTTGTTCTGAAGACTTTTTTGTTGTTCATCTTACTAACTTGAAACATGTCTCTCTTGTCAGGACTCCCCTCTGCATAAAGCCCTCTTTTGGGTGGCTGTGGCTGTGCTGCAGCTCGATGAGGTCAACTTGTATTCAGCAGGCACTGCACTTCTTGAACAAAACCTACACACCTTGGACAGTCTCCGGATATTCAATGACAAGGTAAGCAAGCTTTTGATTAGGCTCCTAGATTATGCATATTTAGAGGCCCTCCTCTTTTATCGTTTTTGTCCTTGAAAATCAGAAGAGAGGAGCCTCCTTGGTGGGGCAGGGGATACAGTCTCAGCGCTGTCAAGCTATAGCCAGCCATTGCAGCATGAGTTCGATCCTGGCCAGGAGCTAACCCACATTGCACAGCAGACTGCTTTCTCACCCACTGCTTCCCTCAGCAGTGTATTTCAGTAGATCTGCCTGTTTTGCTCTCCACTCTGTCTGTGATGAATCCTCTCACCCCCCTGCACCTCTGGCCTGCACCTCTGGCCTACACTCCAGTTCTTGAATGCATAAATAAATAAAAATAAATCTTTGGAAAAAAAATCAGAAGCGATCCATACCTTAAATATGAGTATCTATAATGCACAACTTAAGTGTAGTTCCTTACCAGTTCACAAATAAGTATTTAGACTTCACTGCATATTTTCTACATAAAAATAGCAGAAAATAGTACTCACTCAATACTAGTAAACAAAATAGGGGTAAATAATATGAAGAGCTACCATACCAGAGCTATCATACCTGTGCGATGCATTCATTATTTGTAATTTTCATAACCCAGAGGAAAAGGTTAGCCTTTCCAAACCACTCCCCTTTTCATATGAAGAATAATCTAAAAACAGATTTGTTTTTATTGAATAATGGTACTTAATGAAAAAATAAGTGTAGTTAGAAGCAGGTAAGGAGGTTGGATAGTCTAAAGGACATTTTTGGGTGCTTGTACTTTTTTTTTTTTTTGCTTTGCCTAATCTCACTTTAAAACATACCATTAGCACTCCTTAATATTTTAATGTTTATCAATCTTGATTGAGGCTAGATTTTGCTTCACAAAGTATAAAAGAGGGACTATGACACTTTAAAAGTCTGGAAGAAAAGAGGAACTTTTTTAAAAGCTGGGTATGTGTATATAGCAAGAGATTTGCTTGAAGTGAAATTAAACAGAGCTCTGGGTAGAAAGAAATAGAAAAAAAACAGAAGCAGTTTTAAGTGTGGATATGCCTTCTCTAAACACTATTTGTTCAGTCAACCAAATATAGGGTAGAACCAGCATAGATGGGGCTCTGGGAAATATGTGGAGACAAAATTCTAGAGGCAGAAGCTACCTTGGAGTCTATCAGTCAGACCACCATTTCACAAAATAGAAAAGAACAAAGAAGTTAAGTGACTTGTTTATGCTCATATATCTGAGTTGGGGCAGGAGCCCCTGTTTCCCAATCTCCATTTCTCTTTTCTGGGATTATCTAGGGACAGAGGTGATAGAGAAGTAGCTAGTTATTGGCTATTTGTATGAATAGAAAAAAACTATTCATACTATACTTTCATGCTGTCACCTTGATTTCAACCCACCTTGATATCAAAATTCTGGCTTCCAGAAATGTGAGGGAATAAATTTCAATTGTTTTAAGCCACACAAACACAAAAGCAACCCAACTCTAATAGGAGTCTGAATGTTAAGGACACTTGAGGGGCCTCTTCCCAATCCATGGACAGAGACAGTCACCAGCATCTCATGACTGAACTTCCATGTGTGACTTCCTTCCCGGCGACCTCACATCCATCCTATCCCTACCTTGTGACCTTCTAAGAAAAAAAAGTATGACTGAAGTGTTTATTTAGGAATATCTATCTACACTAGCATTTTCATTGCCAGAATAGCCCACTAGCAGGACTTAATTTGATTCCAGTGCCCCAGGATACTAGGAATCAGAATTATAGCTTTGTTAAAAGTCACTGGTATGCAAGATGAATAAGGCTGAGGATTTAGATTTTCAGTAGATCTTCAGTAGATCTAACGTGTAACAGGGTGACTTTAGTTGATAATACTGTCATGTATAATTGAAATTTCCTGAGAGTTGAACTCAAATATTCTCACCAAAAAAAGGGAGTATATATGCAAGGTGATGGATGTATTTGATTCTATAGAGTGAATCATTTCACATTATGTATCAAGTCACCATGACGTATACTTTATTTTTTTTAATATTTTATTTTATATAATTCTTACATCATTTTTCATTTTTGCACAATGTATGCATTTTCATTTTGGTTACATTCCCCATACAATTGCACCCCCCATTATTTTGACCCTAATCCTTCCTCTCCCCGCCCCTTCCTCCCCCCTACCCCCTGTAGTGTGTCTCTGGTTTACAGTTGCTTGTTGACCATGACGTATACTTTAAATATTTTACTTTAAATATTTATACTTTAAATATTTTAAAAATTTTGTCTTCAAATATACTTCCATATATAAACTGAATATGGGTAATCACGTTTTAACAGTATATTGCAATCTGCATTTGTATCTAACAATATAAAATGGATGTCTTTCTAAGTATACACATACATGCACACAGGTATGTGAGTGTATAGTTCTTTCTCATGGCTACAGAGTATTTTACAGTATGCATGAACCACAGTTTATCCAGCAATTTGCCCATAATGAACCTTTTGTTTCTTCTAATATAAACATTGCTGCTATAGACTCCTTCCCACATTTTTTTTCTTTTTTTTTTTTGTGTGTGTGGGGAAGGGGTTCCTAGTACTTTTACCTGTGAACTGAAATCCACAGTAACTTTTTTTTTTCCCCAAAATTTATTTATTTATTTATACAAGCATTGGGTACAGTCAGAAGTGTGGGAGGGTGAGAGAATTCACCAGAGACAGAGCAGAGAGCAGAACAGGCAGACTGACGAAGTACACTGCTGAGGGGAGCAGTGGACGGCAGGAGAGGTCTGCGCACCATGTGGGACCCTCACCTGGTGGCCAGTGATCGAACTGGTGCTAAAGAGGCTGTGGGCAGCTTTGCAACCCAGCACTCAACCGCTGTGCCACCAGGGAGGCCCTCCACAGTAACTTTAGAGCAGATTTTCCTGGAATGAACATTGTTAAAATCTTGATTGTCTTGGGCAAGTTACATAGTGTTTTTGAGTTCCAGTTACCTCATTTTTCCACATTAGACTGAAATCCACCAGTCTTTTCAGTCCTCTCATGGATTTGCAGAAACTAGAACCATGCCTAGCACATCAAAAGCACATAAGTATTTGATTAGTAAAAGAATGAATGAATGAATGAATCTGTAAAATGGAGCTAATACCTATTGGGTAGATTTGATATAAAGGTTTTAATATACTGTATACTGCAAATACTCAGTAAATATGGATTCTCTTCATTCTCCTGAATTTTCAAAACCATGGTACATAAAATGCCATTTACAATTCAGTGAATAGTTTTATTTGAAACAATAATACTTTTAATTTTTAAAAAGTCACCAGGATGTAAATTGACAATGATTTATTTTGTACTTATTTTGTAAATCAAAACAACTTCATCTTCCACCATCTTAAGGATATTCTTGACTCTCTTGCATTAATTTATTTGTAGTATTTTAAATGTTCTTATGTGGTTTTCTGTAGTCACCTGAAAGTAACTTCTCTCAACTTGAAAGAATTACTTACCATGTCATAACTGTTAAACACAACCAAAAACTAGTAAGTGATCCTTTAAGTAAAGTTCCTGTGTGAATCCCCCATCAACCATCTCATCTTTAATAGAGTCCAGAGGAAGTATTTATGGCAATCCGGAATCCTCTGGAATGGCACTGCAAGCAAATGGATCATTTTGTTGGACTCAATTTCAACTCTAACTTTAACTTCGCACTGGTTGGACATCTCTTAAAAGGTAGAGACCTTGGGGTCAGAATATTTTTATGAAATGGTATCAAGAAGCCAGAAGTAACTAAAACAATTGATTTCTTGAAATCAGTTGAAATAATTTGGCTCATATATCTTAATTTAAATGCAAACTATGTCTGTCTGATTGAATTACTTTTTACTCAGTATGTATTTTTTAACAGAACCTGTTTCCACATCAGTTATCAGATTTCCTTTAGAAAGCAAAAGAATTGCGTCTTAAGGTTCCTAATTACTGAACTTTATCATAGCTATGTTGTTTGCTGGTACTTCCCAAGTATCTTTTTGATTATCAAAATAAGACTGCAAATCAGCAAATGTTAATTTGACTAATTTATATTGGAAAATGTTATCTTAGAGATCTGATCATAGATTTTCTTCCATTGTTTCTAATTTATTGTGGCTCAATCCTACTATTATATATACCATAGAGCCTCATCTTTTTGACACTACCCTCACCTCTTGAGATTTCTATATTGCTTATAGTGGTGCTCTCCAACTATTCCTCAGAACCAGCTGATTCATTCCTAACCTGGCTTTTCTCTCCACTGCTGACTTCACTGGTATGTTAGCTTTGGTTTATTAACATCCGGCAGTCATGGCCAGAGACTGTAGTTAACGTGAACAGCATGTGGTGGTAAGTCAGAGACAAAAGCACTGTAAAGCCTGGGATAAAAAGCTGGTGTGAACTAATGGTCTTAAGCAGTACTGAATTTTGTCTCAGAGATTCAGTATGGAACTTGAGTCTACTATTTTGTATCAACTTAAAATGATTCTTAGACTTTTGGGATCATGGCGGTTACTCCAATTTTTACCTGATATATATACGTACACTCAGCACTATGAATGCATACATTTCATTTTACCACCTTATAAGATTTCAGCAAAATAGATTGAGTTTTAATCTTTAAGGTGAAAAAGGGTTGTTCAAAAGATATTATATATACTTATATACTATAGGATACCTTGAGGAAAGATTGCAATAGGCTAATAAAGTGCTTGGTTATCTTGTATTTCTAGAAGAACACCAGGTATTTTCAGTATTTAAACCCCCTGTTTTAAAATAAAGTATCAGTGATTAAAAATTGTCCAAAGATCAGACTTTTTCTCTAACCAACCATATTCTTTGGGCTCTGAGATTAAGTACTTCCTATGTCATTGTTGTTTTTTTCTTTAATTAAAAAAGCAATAGAACCCTACTTTCAAAAGATAAGTAAGGTAAATGCCAATATATAGGTATTTTTAAAATCTCTGCACTGCTTTAGGGAATGAAAGATCTGAAACACCATCATCTCTTCTTAATTTTCCTTAGCATTCCAGAGAACATTATTCTTCACATTTTGGTACTTACTTTTATATATAATTAACTATTCACGTGTTTTACCTTTCCAAACGACTATTCATAGAAGGCAGAATAGCTAGTTACAGAGTAATAACTCAACAACTATTTGATGAAAGAATGAATTAACTTGTTTGTTTTTATTTTTTGTAGGGTACAGGCATCCTTCACCTGCCATTGTTGCAAGAACAGTTAGAATTTTGCATACACTACTAACTCTGGTTAACAAACATAGAAATTGTGACAAATTTGAGGTGAATACACAGAGCGTGGCTTACTTAGCAGGTAAAAACACAAATTGACAAAATTAATCTTAGCACATCTATATCTAAGGACTGCCAAAAAGGATACAAAGTCCTATGAGTCTCTTCAGCTGGTTGCTTGGCAGGGTAAGGAGTTCAAGGTTCAGTCCTGTAGTGGTTGTTAACATTTTGAAAGTTTTACCAAAACAGTTTTGCTTATGAAAATACTTGCATTAAAATCTGAAATGTGTTCCTTTTTTCATCTTTGGTTCAAGACACTGCAGTAGTTCTCTGTTATCTGTCATAAAATATGAACATTTCAGCCTTACATCCTGGACCCTTAAGAAGCCCTCCTTATTCTGTCTTCTTTCTCTAAATGTATAAGCTTTGTTTTTTATTACTTTTCCAAGTGGGTTCGTCTATTTTTGGCTCATCTATTGCCATCTCCTGGGAATGCCATCTGTTTTATCTGCCATGTCTGCCCCATCTCCACCTTTCCATTAAACCTTTCCTATTTGTTCTTACCTGATTTGTGTTTGTACACTTAGTACTTAGTGTAATATAGTTCTTGAACATAATTGTCTGGTGGAAAGTACTTATTTCCAGTTTAACATTTTGTGACCTCTTTTTTATTTGATCGTTTACACTTTGGCATATCATTTAACATGTCAGAGTATTTTTCCTTATCTAAGAAATGGACTTCATATTACCTGCCCTACCTTCTTTTTGTGTTTGTTGAGGTCAAATGTACATGAAAATACTTGACAAATATAAGGTACTCATTAAATTTCTTTATATATTTCATATTTGTGTACAGTCTTCAGAATAGACCATAAACCCTTTAAGATAAATACATCTGTCCTGTTACATATCCTTAAACTTCATACTTTCTAGGACTCTTTACATGCATGTTTAACAGCTGTTACCCTCTTCAGAAACTTGTAAGAAGTATATCCTGTTTTAAGTCACACTTGTGATCTGTTAACTTTTTTAATCTGCCTTATTTTCTCTTTTAGCGTTGCTCACAGTGTCTGAAGAGGTTCGAAGTCGCTGTAGCCTAAAACATAGAAAGTCTCTTCTTCTTACTGATATTTCAATGGAAAATGTCCCTATGGATACATATCCCCTTCATCATGGTGACCCTAGCTATAGGTACGTGGACTTATTCTCCCACAATTACATAATTATAATCAGGTTTCAATTTTGCATGCTTGTGTGGATACAAGCAATAGAGTAATCCAATAGGTAATAGAAAAGGAAATCTAAATATAATCTAAAAATGGTATGTAAATCAAAACTCATTTTATAAATGTCTATAGTATTTTATGTGGGCTGGTAGTAAGAAAGTTGCTGTTCTTTGGGCCTAATGTGCTAATGTTAATGTTAGTTTGCCTCTTTTAAGCACAAACCAGTTAAATAATGAAAAGAGATGATCTTGAGAATACTGGATTGCAGGAAAGAGCATTGGGAAAAACAGCATGAAATTAAAGCAAATAACATGCTTAATTATAGAAAGCTAACTTATTCAGATTTGAAAAAATATATGTGCCAGCACATTCCTTGTATTTTTCATAGAGCCATGAACATTATTAAAAGGTTTTCAATAGTAAGGTTTAGGTAATAAGATAATTAAATTAGGTCTACTGTTATATGATTTTGGATAGTGTGTTTTTTACTATAATATGGAGAAATTACATGAAAATGACATCATTTGAGAATTTTTATATTTTTTCAATTAAATGAAAGTGTAAGTTTTAGGCACAGTATTGAAGAGAAAAAAGTAATCTTGTATTTATAGAGCTGATATTTAATTTATCAACATCTTACTTTTTGATGAAAAGTGTTCTATAATGTTCCACTAATATTTTAACAATGTATACAAAAACTATCCATGCATACTTGGTTTTCTATAATCTTACTCTTCCATCATTCCTATGATTGTATTTCTTTGAGATACACCCCTTTTCATTATGAAATGGAGAAAGCGAATTTGCCTCTATTCCCCAATCAACATATAAATTAAGATTGATTTTCTTAGTTGTTAAACCAAGAATATGATTGTCTATTTAGACTTGACTTTCCTGATTGAGAAATTAATTCAGCACAATTCTGTGTAGCATTTGATGTGTACATGTCAGATACCATGATAAGAAAGTTGATACTTCCTGGGGATATGTTAAGAGTTTGCACCTTAAAGTCCTTTAAAGTGCAGTTTAGGGCCTCCCCATTGGCACAGCTGCTGAACGCTGGGCTGCGAAGCTGCCCGCAGCTTCTGGAGCACCTGTTCAATCCCCGGCCGCCGGCGAAGGTCCCACATGGCGCGCAGACCTCTCCTGCCATGCCCACTGCTCCCCTCAGCATTGTATTTCATCATTCTGCCTGTTCTGTTCCCCGCTCTGGCTCTGGTGGGTTCTCTCACCCTCCCTCACTTCTGACTGTACCTAGTGCTTGTGTAAATAAATAAATAAATCTTTTTTTAAAAAAGTGCAGTTTAAAATTAACTGATTGCTGTCGATGGGAAATAAGACAGCCACTTGGGAGGGACAAACAGTAGTTATATTTGTCACCATGCTAATTAATTCTTCTGAATTCTTTAAATATCTCAGGACACTAAAGGAGAATCAGCCATGGTCCTCTCCCAAAGGTTCTGAAGGGTACCTTGCAGCCACCTATCCAAATGTGGGCCAAACCAGTCCTCGAGCCAGAAAATCCATGAGTTTGGACATGGGACAGCCTTCTCAGGCCAACACTAAGAAGTTACTTGGTTAGTTTACCTAATTCATGCTGAACTTTTTAGAATTTATTTTTTAAATTCTCAAACGTTTTCACTCTTGAAAATTATTTGATGTTTTTTAATGATTTTTTAATGCCAATTAGAAGAGAATTTGATAGCTCAGTTAAGCTATATCATTTAAAGATAGAGGAATGAGAATGAGAACTTAAAATAGTTTTATTCTGATTCTTAGACAAAATATGGTAGCTCTCCTTGTTTTGTTCTGCCTTGGCCAAGCAATGGGAAAATGGAATAGGAAAGACATTAGATACACATGAGAAAGGAAGAGTTTTGCTGCACTTAGGTGCAGGCCCTTTCATGATATATAGGTCCCAAAGTTACCAATATGCTATGAAGCTGCAAATAATATTGTTTGCCATCTTTTCTTTTAAAGACAAAAAGGTAAGATTTTTCAATTACTGGTTTTTTTAACCATAAGAACATTTGATTCTTAAGTTTGCTTAGTTATACCAACTGTCAATAAGAACTATACCCAAAATACTGTGAGATCCGTTCCTCCTTCAAGAACTGAAAGTGCATGAGTCCACTGATCCACCTCACAGAGAGAAAGAGCAAATTCACAATAACTGAAGTTTTGTTACTTGAGTACTTCGGGATTAGTTCACTCACCAACAGTCTGAATGGCTCCGTGTCTTTCAGTTATCCATGCAGGCATATCTTAAGTATCGTTAGACATTGGGAAAATAAATATTGTGTTCATAAGGAAATCAGTGGACAGTGAAGTGTCAAATGAATAACCTGCCAGTAATCCATGAAAGAAATTGGAACCATGAATAGTAATCACTGTTACTTGTCACATGGGTCTGTTACCTTTTGTTTGAGTTCCTTTCTGTTTATACTTTGTCCTAAGTAGTCTAGGAGTTTTCTGGTTACTTAATGTTTTGTAATTCTGAATTTTCTTGTTAAGGAAGTTGTAAATGAAAAACTAACTTCAGAGAAAAGGTGATGATAAATTTGTTCAACCCCTATGCTAGATGAAAAAGTCATGGTTTCTACCTTGAAGAGCTCACAGTCTGGTGACTGAGACCTATAATCATCTGATCACAAAAGCATTCCCCAGGTGCCTTTAAGTAATTTGTCTTTAAATATATGAAAGAAACAGAGTCTGGAGAAATTAGGAAAAGCTGCAGAGAGGAAGTAATGTTTGAACTGGGACTTAATGATTTAATACTTGATTTTCAGGCAGACAGACACAGGATAAGGAATGCATGCATGCAAGAAATAGGGGGAATAATATGAATAAGGAAAAGTCAGAATAAGCAATTGGGGGTGCCTCCCTGATGGCACAAGGGGTTAAGTCTCAGCACTATGAAGCTATCAGCAGCCACTGCAGCACAACTTGGAATCTTGGCCTGGGCGCTAACCCATATGGCACAGCAGACCTCTCCTGTCTTGCCCGCTGCTCCCCTTGTGTAGTGTATTTCAGTCGGTCTGCCTGTTCTGCTCCCCACTCTGTCTTCAGTGAATCCTCTCACCCTCTTCCTTCTCCTCCCTGCCCCTGCACCTCTAGCCTACACCTCAGCTGTTGTATGCATAAATAAATAAATCTTAAAAAAAAAAGAAAGAAAGAAAAAGCAATTAGGTAGGAAATGAGTCTGTAGAAGGATTAGATTGGAACTAGATTGTGGAAGAGTTTGTGTGCCGTGATAAAAGAATTTAACCTTATCTTGTACCTAGAAGAGATTTATGTGGGGTAGAGATGTTACCAAATTCTGTTTTTAGGAAAGTTTTTTTGTCAACATTGTAGAGAAATAGGAAAAATTTTTGGCAAGAGGATCATTTAAGAATTTGATACAGCAGTTCAAGTAAAATATGGTGTATGCCCGCACTAAGAGAGGAATAGTGGAGAAAGAAGAGGAATAAAGACTTGGGATAGATTATTTCTGAAGGGAGCAGAAATGGGAGCAGGTGGGGAGGGAGAAGGTGGTAAAGGATGTCAGAAGTTTCTGACTTCAACAACTGGCTGCATAGTGATTCCACTCATAGAGATTGGGACTAAATATACTTACAATAGAGAATAAATTTAGATTGGTTGGTATATTGATAGCCCTTCAGGATTCTAGGAGTGCATATCTCTGAGATAAAAAGCAAAGACGTGTGTGCACCTCTAGAAGAGAAAGGTAAACAAGTGACCCATTTAGAATTGTTGAAGACACAATTAGAATCAATAGTTGACTCCATGGAAGTGGAAGGAGATCTCCCAGGAACAATGAAGAGTAAAATGAAAAGGAAGAGTGAGAAAGACAGGAAAACTAAATGTAGAGATTGCTGTCCTATAAAAAGCACCAATGGTTTTTAGGAAATTTGAGTTTCCTAAAATTTGAGTTTTTAACTCTGGTCTGGTCATAAGCTGGACTCCTAGCCATGTGACTTCAGGCTAACCACTTACTGCTCATTGTCTCTTCAGTTTAAAAGTGTGTGAAATAAAGAGGTTGGACTGGATCCTTTGGGACTGTTAAATTATTTGGTCTTCGTAATTGTGACTATTGCGAATATTAGTATTAATGTTTGAAGTTAGTAAAACCTTCTTCTCAATCATTCAGTTGACATTTTGTATCTCTCTTTTTAAAAATGGTGCTGTTAAAAGTATTAAAAGTATTCCAGAATTGTTCTTTGAGCTGCACCAAGAAAAATAAGAGAAATATTCTTAGAATATAAAGAAATATATTGGTTCCAAGTAATCCAGCTTTAATACTTTAATAAAGGAAAGATAGTTCATGTTAGTGTACTGCCTGCTTAGAGTAACTCAAAGGCAAATGGAAGATGCTACTACTTCCTATTTTTTGAAGCATCTTCTAGTGTATCTGTTTAGCACTTTTAAGTATGCAGATTTTTTTTTCAAAGATCTCTTTTTTTGTCTGCATTTGAAAATTCCTCATAACAACAGTGACTTGGCACCAGCAGAATTTCTTAATTCAGGCAGAGTTGATTTTTGCTACCGGACAGTGCATACCCGGTATTTATTATCAACTATTGTACTTTTGGTGGAGTTTGGTTTATCCCCAGTGTAGTGAATGTAATCTCAGTTTAATTTGAACCAATAAGGTACATCCTGTCCTGAAACAAAAGTCATTGAGACTAAAATTCTATAAGAAGAAGGAACATAAAGGAGAGGAATTGTGCCCCAGAGACATGTTTGAGCTTTCTTGGTGTCCATAAGTGAAATCTTAATCACTTTATGTCCATACATTTTCTTTTTAGTATGTTCCTATTCACAGACACTGTGGTTAATGAACTTCCATATTCTGTAACTTTTGTTTGTAGGAACAAGGAAAAGTTTTGATCACTTGATATCAGACACAAAGGCTCCTAAAAGGCAAGAAATGGAATCAGGGATCACAACACCCCCCAAAATGAGGAGAGTAGCAGAAACTGATTATGAAATGGGTGAGAATCAAAGTTAATAATTGATCTAGATCATTGAAAATAAGGTGGGAGAGTACATTAAAGTCATATTTGCTTTCCAGCCATTTCTTACAATCTTTAGGATGAAATACAGAAAGATTTTCAATCTTATCAAATGATAAGCTTTACAGTCCTTAAAATGACCATTATCCTAAAAACCTGTGTAAAAAATAATCAAATATATGATAAACAACATTGTAAGTAGCTAGCCAAAAAATCCATATAGGTCAGTAGTAATTCTTTATGGTGTTTATGTTGACATTTTAAGTCTCTATTAAAATGCTATTAAATTTTAACATTAAAATATGTTAGGTGAAGTAATATCCAGTGTGCATATTCAGTTAATACAGCTGATCATGTTACTCCATATCTTACTGCAGAAACTCAAAGGATTTCCTCATCACAACAGCATCCACATTTACGTAAAGTTTCTGTTTCTGAATCGAATGTTCTCTTGGATGAAGAAGTACTTACTGATCCGAAGATCCAAGCACTTCTTCTTACCGTTCTAGTAAGGTTTTTTTGCTTTTTTGAGGGTTTTTTCCCCCCCTTCAAGTTTTTATTCCAATTTACTCTTAGGAGGCCCTTAACTATTAAAACGTGGAAGAAACACCATCTTCTGCTTCTTCCCAAAACAATTAACAATTTGGTTACAAAATAAAAATTTCTTTTTGTATGCTTTTTTTGCATCTTGGCAGGCTACACTGGTAAAATACACCACAGATGAGTTTGATCAACGAATTCTTTATGAATACTTAGCAGAAGCCAGCGTTGTTTTCCCCAAAGTTTTTCCTGTTGTGTAAGTATCTCCTTTTACTTTTCTTAATAATTAACTTCATCATCTATCTTGAAGTCAAATGCTTTTTAAAACTTAGCAAAAGAATCAGTAGTGTTGGGCCTCCCTGGTGGCATAGGCAGTTGAGTGCAGCGCTGTGAAGCTATCTGCAGCCTCTTCAGTGCTGGTTCAATCCCCACCGGCCGCCGAGATACCCAAATGGCTGCGCAGACCTCTCCTGTCTCACCTGCTGCTCCCCTAAGCAGTGTATTTCAGTCAGTCTGCCTGTTCTCTTCCCCGCTCTGTGTCTGGTGAATTCTCTCACCCTCTTGCACATCTGACCTGTACCCCGGTTTTTGTATTAAAAAAAAAAAAAGAATCCGTAGTGTTGATTGGTTATACAGAGGGGAATGAGATGGTGTGGTTAGAAACAATGGGCTTAATGGGGACTAAGCCTAGTTTGGGCCTATTAAGAAAAACATTTTTTTATTATTGAATTTAAGTGTCTCATGATAAGCATTGTTCCTTTCCTCACTTTGGAGTAAACTATTAGACTGCTGTATTTAAATCAGCATACCTATTTTGACTCGTTTTTCAGTAGAAATTTTGTATTTATCCATAACTGAGTGAAAATAAAATTCATCTCCCAAGTAGGGCTAAAATCATAGTAGCTTCAAAGTGTTGAAATCTAAATGATCCAAAGAAACTTGGGAAATTTTATTCCTACTGTCTGCCTGCTATGTAGTGTCATTTCCTTATTTTCATTTAATTTCATACTAAAGTTTCAGAATTTTATGTAGTTGTTTCTTGTTTATTTTTATTAATGGTATATAGTTGCGCTAGAAATAGTTAATTTCCTCTTAAGTTTGAATTAGATGGTATATTCCACCTGCCCCCAAACTAATTTTGCCTTTCTTGTGTACTCACATTCAGCATGTATTAAGCTCTGTTAATATTAAATTTATATTCCATCCCCTGGATATATATCAACAGTCAGCAGAAAGAAAAGTCCTAAAGCATGCAGAGTGGCAAACAGAAGTCAACTTTGTCTTGAGCAGCAGTAAATCATACACAGTAAAATGTGGTTCTATGACAGTACCACAGAAGTAAAAGGCACTCATCGCCCTTCATTTTTGTCATGTTTTCTGGGGGAATAATACGCTTTCCAAATATGTTTTCATTTAATATTCACTAAAATGCTTTTATTTTTTAGGCACAATTTGTTGGACTCTAAGATCAATACCCTGTTGTCATTGTGCCAAGATCCAAATTTGTTAAATCCAATTCATGGAATTGTGCAAAGTGTGGTGTACCATGAAGAATCCCCACCGCAGTACCAGACATCTTACCTGCAAAGTAAGTATATATATATATATATATACACTTATATATGTGTGTATATATATATATATATATGTGGAGGAGGGTGGTTGATTATCTTGCTGACAAGTGCACAGTAGCAGAATGCACTAACTGCAGAATTCCTGGCAGGGCTGGGTTTGCTCATGCTTCAGTCATCATATGCCATCTTTTGACTTTTAATTGTGTGTTCAATACCATAATTGGTTGATGCCTTTTATAAAAATTAAAAAATTATACTGAGTATATTCAAGTGAGTTTTAATTTACTTTGACACTCTTCTGAAAAATATTTTCAATGTGCATTTTCTATATCATCAACTACATAACTTTTTAAATTTCTGTTCGATTAAAAGAGTCATGCTGGGGCCTCCCTGGTGGCGCAGGCGGTTAAGCACAGTGCTGTGAAGCTGTCCGCAGCCTCTGCAGTGCTGCAGACCTCTCCTATCTCGCCCACTGCTCCCCTCAGCAGTGTATTTCAGTCAGTCTGCCTGTTGTTCTGTTCCTTGCTCTATCTTTGGTGAATTCTCTCACCCTCCCACACATCTGACCTGTACCCCAGTTCTTGTATAAATAAATAAATAAATAAATAAATAAATAAATAAATAAATAAATAAATCTTTGAAAAAAGAAAGAGTCATGCTTATTCTAAGAGTAACATTTGTTTTGTTGCAGGTTTTGGTTTTAATGGCTTGTGGCGATTTGCAGGACCTTTTTCAAAGGTAAGATATATTTTTCTCTATTGTTTGAAAGTTTAGTCATATGAATGTGCTTTAAGAACATACAATATGCTATGTAGTGTCATTTTCCTTTCCATCTGAAAGATGATTTGTAAGAAACATTTATTTTATTATAAGTTTTCCACCTCAAGATTCTTTCCAAGAGGCAGCACCTTTAATTTGTTTATGTATTACTTTTTACCAAAAACAACACAATTCATTTTATATTTCAGAAGGGTGTGATAAACAAATGTAAACTTTTCTGCCCTCTGTCCCTGATGTATCTGGTGACCTTAATGCACACACTGAAGTATCTTGTGACTAGGAAAGAGCATTACCTATAGTTAAACTCTACCACACAAAAGCCATTGTCCTTCCAACCTATTGGATTAGATTTATTCTTCCCTGAATATGTCCTCATTTTCCTTTTCAGTTCTTTGATTAGCATTAGTTGTATATAGTGCTACATAAATGTGTATTTTATTATTTTCTCTGTATATGGTCTCTCTCCAAATTGATAGAGGTTCCTTGAAGGCAGGACTTCTATTTCTCCCCCTCTTTAGTCCTCCTGACCCCCAGTTCCTAGTGCAGTGTTCTGGATACAAGGGGTACTAAATCAATGCAACTTACCTAAACCTTGTTCTAATTTTAAGAATTGGGTATTTAGTTTGTTATTTTGTTTCATTATTTCTGAGTATCTCTTGATATGCAAAGGCTATCATTTTAAAAATGAACCTGAAATAAGTGTATCATATGGGAATTGTTAGTTTGATTGCCAGTAACCCTCTGGGCCCTTCACAGTGTTTTATTAGTTGAAACTCTAAATGACAACTAAACTGATGATGCTCATTTTTCTGTCTTGGAAATTTGACTACACATCATTCCTGATGATTGTATTGTCTTAGGAATTCAGTCTTTTTGCATGACTCCCAGTAATTGCAAGTTCACGGGAAGCTGTAAGTGCAAGCTGAATAAAATTCCCAGTTGTAGGTCCTATAATAGTTTATAAATATTACTCCTCCACCATCGCCCATTTTGAAATGATCTATACTACAAAGGAAGAAAAATAGTAAATTATGCCCAAAACAAAAATTGAATTAATATTTTTTGGCTTCAAAGGGGATTTACAAAAAAAAGAAAGAATGGAGCTAAAATAATTTCCTATTTTCCATTACAGCAAACACAAATCCCAGACTATGCTGAGCTTATTGTTAAGTTTCTTGATGCCTTGATTGACACGTATTTGCCTGGAATTGATGAAGAAACCAGTGAGGAGTCCCTCCTGACACCCACATCTCCTTATCCTCCTGCAGTGCAGAGCCAGCTTAGTATTACTGCTAACCTTAACCTTTCTAATTCCATGACCTCACTTGCAACTTCCCAGCATTCCCCAGGTCAGTAAATGTAATCTTTATATAAATTTGAGCAATAATATTAATATACCAACATTAGGACTCCCTTGTTATCAGTTCATAGCAGATTTTACTCCTTTTTATCATGAAATTCATCTTACATTTCTCCTTTACCTTTAGCTAACTTGAATTGTGTTACTCTACAGAGCTTTCTACCATCGAACAGTTTTATGTAGGTATGGACAGTGAAGTATTTAGTGTGTTCACATGAACCTTGTGTTCTCAAGTTGATAGTCTTTAGAATTTGGGCAGGAAGAGTACCCTAAGGTACATTATCCTTGTAAGTGAACAGAACTACAATTCCCTTACTAGTTATACTAACCTTCCCTTAAGGGCTTCTGTGTCTCTGACAGTAGTATACTGTATCCAAAAATAGGCAAACTATAGTATTATCCCACTTCCCTGCAGGTTGAGCAACAATTCAACCATCCATAGACCAACCTGAAAATCTAGCAGTCATTAAACAACCAGACAAGAAAAGTCATCTCAAGAAAATAATATCTTTGAAAGCCCTTAAGCATGTTACTTACTGTGCAATCACTATTAGGTCCAAATGAGAAAAGTTTACTAATGCAACATGCTACTAAGACATAGATATACTGAGAAATAGTAGCTAATAGCTCAGTGGGGCTGAAATAAACAAGATGACAAAAATGGTAGACCTACAGAACTCTGCGCTCATTCACTCTCTCAGTAAAGGCTTTTATACCACTCTGGTCAATCCTAGAAGTGTTATTCATTACAAAACTAATGCTGTGTGTGTGATGATGACAGTGGGTAACAAAGATCATGTTTTCTATTCAGAAAAGTATCGTTCTAAAATGGTTAAAATGAAAAAGAGTTGTATGCATAAAGTTCCATTATCTGAAAAGTTTATGTATGAAACACCTTGTTTTGTAAGGAAAAGTTCTTGTGCATAGTTTCTTAAATGTTAGCATGAATTTTCTTTTTAAAAAGCCAAATGATAATATTATAATCATTTTGTGATATGCAAGATCATAAATGAAATCCCCAGTTTATAATCCAGTTTTGTGTGAACATTTAAACTATATAGTTTTGAAGGTTCTGAAGAATTTGGCAAGTATAATATCCAATTCATATTATAAACCATTATATTAAATGACTATTCATCTATTAAGCTTTGGTCAACAACAAACTTCTTTCAAGAGAGGAAACTAATTCTCTCATTCAGCATTTACTTATCCATCACCTTACGATGCCTGGTCAAGTTCATCCTTCCTACCCATCCCCAAGAAATAAGCCTGGTCACCTTTTTTCCATTATAACCAAGTTCATTTGACCTCTGTCACTTATTCCCTAGGACAGTGTTTCTGCAAGTGTGGTCCCAGACCAGCAACATCAGCATCATTTGAGAGTTTGTTAGAAATGAAGATGCTGGAGTTCCACCCCAGACCTCCTAAGCAGGAAACTCCAAGAGTGGGAGGCAGCCTACAAGCCTACAATCTGTTTTAATAAACACTCCAGGTGGTTTTTAAGCACACGAAGAGTTTGAGAATACTGCCCTAGAATATGCCTGTGATCTTGCTCCAGGGCAGAGCTTAAACTTTACTTTGTTCTAGATATTGCAGCCACTGAATTCTTTCTCCCCCCCACCAAAAAATAATTGTTAGCACTAATTTGGTTTTAAGTTCGCATTATTATGTGTAATTGAGATTCTGAGGTTTAGAAGAACTAAGTTAATTGTTTTACCATACAGTTCTTGTCTAGAACCAATGCCAGTGGTTGGTTACCGGTCCATATTGCAATATCAAAACATTTGCTGCATTCCATGGTTACCCATCTTACTATCATCTGTCTTCTTTCCCTTCTGCTTCCCCTTTCCTTTCATCTATCTGTTTATTTTGATCGCATTACTTCCTGCCTTACTTTAAGTCTACAAGTCCTTTTCTTTTGTAGACCTCTCTGTTTTCCAGGTTAGGTATTGTTTATAAGGCCAGCCACTAAAAGTTGATCACAATTAGAAAACAACTATTCTGTATATATTCATCCTATTAAAGTTTGATTCATTTTGACCAAACTTTTGTCTCTTCGTCTGCTGAAGTGGTATTAAACTTGTCCAAATGATTAGTTGTTTCTACATTGACTTTTCTTTACCCAGGGATCGTTAGAGGGTTTTCTACCCATTGTTGCACACTAATGGAAACAGTAGTCAGGTTGAGGCTAAAGGTATGAGTACAGGTTCCCCCCGCTAGTTGCCTAATTGTTTATGTCCTTGTTGGTTGGACATTGGCTATACAATTTGCTTAGAAAAGTACCCTACTCTACAGCCTCTTATTTAAAATTGTAAAAACTGGAGAATAACAAGTATGGTTTTAGGTTCCATTTTTAAATCAATCAGAACCACCTCCAGTAGCTCTCCAAAGATGGCTGCCTGAGTAGACAACTATACCCTGGCTGTTCTCAAAGAAACTGAAGCTTTAAATGTAATAGAATGAGCTAAGCAGAATCACTGCACTGTGTTCAGCATTTCCTATCTCTAAACTGTAAAATGTGTGTCCTTTGGTTTGCCAGATAACTATGTTTTTAGAGAAAGGATTTCTTTTTCAACAGTAACTTTACTCTTCCACAATACCCATTTGTATCTGCATTGTAGACTCATCTCCACTATGTACCTAGTTACTGTGATTTTGTTATTAGCTTATAAAATACCTCCTATAAGAGGTAATAGTTTGTAATTAGGTGTACTGCTTTTTATCTTTAGTTCCATATAATCTTATATCCTTATCTCTTCATTCTTTATGGAACCTAGTTTGCTGATATCAAAGATCTAAAAGAAGTGATGACTCTTATCCTAACTTAGTCTCAAATTTCAACTTTGCTATTTAGTTGGCCATACACCAAAAAATTTCCCTAGCTCCACTCACATGAGTAGGTCACCAGCAGAAATATTTAAAGAAGCTCTGCATCACTCCTTGAAATGAAGCATAAATTGACTTGCCATCAAATTACCCAACATCACCCTGCCCCCAGTTTACTAAGTATTAAAAGCAGGTGAAAGTTATGCCGTCCCATGTCAAAAGGCAAAAGTTGCTGATCTGCACATTATTGAACCCTATGCTGCAACTTCCACATTAATGAAGACTGCTTTCTAGGTCTTGGTGCTTAGCAAGATTGACTGCTAAGCTGTGTTTTCTTTTGATCTCCAACGTTCTTTGCTGTCAAATCAGATAAGATACTCATCAACTTTCCCTCTTCCCCCACCCAAGTATTAAATCATACTTAAATAAAAATTCTGATGATAATTCATCACTCATAAGCTTTTTTTTTAATTTATTTTTCCTAAGCTTTTGAAGTGGGGTGATCAGTTACATAAAGCAATTGTCTCTGAAAATGCATTCTTTTAAACAAATTATCATAGCTTACTTATCTATCCTGGCACAGGGGGAATTGTTTTATAAGTCTGTTTCAGATACTTAAGTCACTGGCTTCTGAATCCCTCCCTCATAGAGATTGCACTTTAGTATCAGCGAAGCCAGAGCATTCTACTCAGACAGAACTCAGTGCATATAATGTGTCACCTGTGGCCCTGTGAGCCATAGGGACTTTTGTCTCCCCAAATTCCCCAAAGAGAAACTTCAGGATAGCACTTACTATATATAGAAGACTATTTCAAATTTAATATTATGATCCATTACTAGTATAGCTGAGCTGAACATGAATTGAAAACCATAATTAAAGCTAGAAAATAAAAGCATCTACCTAAAAATGATATATCTGGGACTATCTCGTTTAAGACTAAGCCATGAGTGGTTTTCTTAGGTGATGAGCAGAGAAACCTTGTATGTGTGAGAGAGAGCCTTTTTTAAAGCCTTATTTTGAATGTCTTATAATATTTCAAGTATTCATTTCAAGCACAGTGACCCTATGATGTCTTTCGATACTGAAGAGCAGGTATATTGGAAATAAAAATACAAATGGAATTATATGCACTTAGAACTCATTAAAATTCATTTCCAATGCATTAAATTGTACACTCTACCAAGCTCTCCTAATATTTTTTACCGTGATTCAGTAAACATTCGAGCACCTATTTTGTAATGTCCGTTAGGCTCTGGGACATTTAAAGATGAAAAAGACCCTGGTTACCAAAGACCTGACAGTTTTTGCCTATGGATCTCACTTTTGAGCTACAGTTGTTATTTCCATGTAGTCCATATTGTTTAACAGATTTTACATGTGCTACACCACTCTGTAGAAAATAACCAAATTCTGAATATTCTGTGGGTTTTTATTGTTTGCTATATGTAAGGAATTCTGTTTGACCCATTGTTTTATCCAAAGAAGTAAGGGAGCCGTTAGGACATGATACCTGCCCTCAACTAGATTTCAGAATAGTAAGTCATAAAATGTGTATAGATAACTGTTCAGACCTCTTCTGTAGTACTTGTCATGTTGTACCTTAAGTATAAAGTATTCTGATAGTTCTGGAAAAATCTGGTATGAAAAAGGTTTTATAACTTTTTGGCTGAAAAAACGAGGTATAAGTTAGTTGGTTTTTTGTTTTTTTTTTTTTTAACAAAACTGACTTGTGATTTATTGTGCATGGTTTTAGTAGGAAAAACCTTCTATTTTTTTTTCCTTTGATTTTTTTCTTTGTTTTACCATTAGTATTGGAGCATGATGTTTGCTTTTTTTTTTTTTTTTAGAGCTAAAACCTAATTATTTGAAATTTATTTTAAATTCATTTCTTCTACTTTCTTTTGAGACAGTGTCCAAGCTTGTCAGTTATTCAGTCACTTTGCTTCTGTAATACAGACCTTTCTCCTGGGAAGCTGGGTAAATCAACTAGGAATTATAAGCATTCCTTAACCAAGAGTTCTGACAGCTATGTGCATAGAGTTCATCAGAACCATTTCTCTAAATACAGACTTAGCTCTGAGTCAGTAACATTCCCAATACGCTTACTACCATGTTTAATAAGAGAACTCTTAGAGGAAATCTCAAGGCCTCTATTTTGTGAT